GTGGTGTGTGTGATGTGTGGTGAGGGTGTGGTGTGTGTACGTGCTGTGTGTGTGTGTGTGGTGAGTGTGTTTGTGATGTGTGCTGTGTGTGTGGTGTGTGTGGTGAGTGTGGTGAGTGTGTGTACGTGCTGTGTGTGTGTGGTGAGTGTAAGTGTGCTGTGTGTGTGTGTGGTGAGTGTGGTGTGTGAGTGTGTGGTGAGTGTGGTGTGTGTGTGTGTGGTGAGTGTGAGTGTGCTGTGTGTGTGTGGTGAGTGTGGTGAGTGTAAGTGTGTGTGTGTGATGTGTGGTGAGTGTGTGTGTGTGGTGAGTGTGCTGTGTGTGTGTGTTTGATGTGTGGTGAGTGTAAGTGTGCTGTGTGTGTGGTGAGTGTGATGTGATTGTGTGTGATGTGTGGTGAGTGTAAGTGCGGTGTGATGTGAGTGTGGTGTGTGTGTGTGGTGAGCGTGTGGTGTGTTGAGCGTGTGGTGTGTGGTGAGTGTAAGTGTGTGTGTGGTGTGTGTGGTGAGTGTAAGTGTGCTGTGTGTGTGGTGAGTGTAAGTGTGGTGAGTGTAACTGCTGTGTGTGTGATGCGTGTGGTGAGTGGTGAGTGTGGTGTGTTTATGTTTGTGGCGCATGGAGTGTTGTAGTTGGTTTTGTAAATCAGATTTCCTTTGTGACAGAGTACAACCAAGTTGCGTAGGCCGTCTTGTCACCCTACACAACATGGCCACCACCCTCCACAACGTGTCTTGTCACCCTACACAACATGGCCACCACCCTACACAACATGGCCACCACCCTACACAACATGGCCACCACCCTACACAGCATGGCCACCACCCTACACAACATGGCCACCAGCCTACACAACATGGCCACCACCCTACAACGTGTCTCCTCACCTTACACAATATGGCCACCACCCTACACAACATGGCCACCACCCTACACAACATGGCCACCACCCTACACAACATGGCCACCACCCTACACAACATGGCCACCACCCTACACAACATGGCCACCACCCTACACAACATGGCGGGCCTGTTGTGATGTGGAGTGTTTCATCTGTGCGACGTGAGAGTTTGTGGCTGTGTCGTTTGTGTGTGTGCGTGGGACTTCTTTTGCACCGTACGTAGCCAACTATCAGAGGTGCGGCGGATGGGACCGCAAACTCGGCACAGAGAAGCAGTTTTAAAGAAATTGAATTTTCATTGGAGATTTAAAGTGCATAGTGTGTTGTGTAGTGAGTGTGTAGGGTGTGTAGTGAGTGTTTAGGGTGGGTAGTGAGTGTTTAGGGTGGGTAGTGAGTGGTGAGTGTTTAGGGTGTGTGGTGAGTGGTGAGTGTGTGGTGAGTGGTGAGTGTGTGGTGAGTGGTGAGTGTGTGGTGAGTGGTGAGTGTGTGGTGAGTGGTGAGTGTGTAGTGAGTGGTGAGTGTGTAGTGAGTGTGTAGTGAGTGTGTGAATGTTTAGGGTGTGTAGTGTGTAGTGAGTGGTGAGTGTGTAGTGAGTTTTTAGGGTGTGTGGTGAGTGTTTAGTGAGTGTTTAGGGTGTGTAGTGAGTGTGTAGTGAGTGGTGAGTGTGTAGTGAGTGGTGAGTGAGTGGTGAGTGTGTAGTGAGTGTGTAGTGAGTGTGTAGTGAATGTTTAGGGTGTGTAGTGTGTAGTGAATGTTTAGGGTGTGTAGTGTGTAGTGAGTGTGTAGTGAGTGGTGAGTGTGTATTGAGTGTTTAGGGTGTGTAGTGAGTGTTTAGTGAGTGTTTAGGGTGTGTAGTGTGTGTAGTGAGTGTTTAGGGTGTGTAGTGTGTAGTGAGTGTGTAGTGAGTGGTGAGTGTGTATTGAGTGTTTAGGGTGTGTAGTGAGTGTTTAGTGAGTGTTTAGGGTGTGTAGTGTGTAGTGAATGTTTAGGGTGTGTAGTGTGTAGTGAGTGGTGAGTGTGTATTGAGTGTTTAGGGTGTGTAGTGAGTGTTTATTGAGTGTTTAGGGTGTGTAGTGAGTGTTTAGTGAGTGTTTAGGGTGTGTAGTGAGTGTTTAGTGAGTGTTTAGGGTGTGTAGTGTGTAGTGAATGTTTAGGGTGTGTAGTGTGTAGTGAGTGTGTAGTGAGTGGTGAGTGTGTATTGAGTGTTTAGGGTGTGTAGTGAGTGTTTATTGAGTGTTTAGGGTGTGTAGTGAGTGTTTAGTGAGTGTTTAGGGTGTGTAGTGAGTGTGTAGTGAGTGTTTAGGGTGTGTAGTGTGTAGTGAATGTTTAGGGTGTGTAGTGTGTAGTGAGTGTGTAGTGAGTGGTGAGTGTGTATTGAGTGTTTAGGGTGTGTAGTGAGTGTTTATTGAGTGTTTAGGGTGTGTAGTGAGTGTTTAGTGAGTGTTTAGGGTGTGTAGTGTGTGTAGTGAGTGTGTAGTGAGTGTGTAGTGAGTGTGTAGTGAGTGTGTAGTGAGTGTGTAGTGAGTGTGTAGTGAGTGTGTAGTGAGTGTGTAGTGAGTGTGTAGTGAGTGTGTAGTGAGTGTGTAGTGAGTGTGTAGTGAGTGTGTAGTGAGTGTGTAGTGAGTGTGTAGTGTGTGTGTAGTGTGTGTGTAGTGAGTGTGTAGTGAGTGTGTAGTGAGTGTGTAGTGAGTGTGTAGTGAGTGTGTAGTGAGAGTGTAGTGAGTGTGTAGTGAGTGTGTAGTGAGAGTGTAGTGAGTGTGTAGTGAGTGTGTAGTGAGTGTGTAGTGAGTGTGTAGTGAGTGTGTAGTGAGTGTGTAGTGAGTGTGTAGTGAGTTATGTTGATGCTGATATAGCATTCGCAGGTTTGCTCTTATTTTCTTACATCTTTGTACTTGCTACGGCAACACAATTATATATATATGGTACGTGTGTGTTTCCCTGCGTCTGTGTGTGTGTCTCTGTGTATGTCTTGTGTCTTAACTTGCACACAGCCTGGCACAAGCGCCATGGTGTCGTCACCGCCACTTAGTGGCGAATGGCGGCGGTTGTTGTTGTTGTCTTGTGTGTCTCTCACTCCGTCTCTCGCTCCGTCTCCCGCCCGTGGTCCAGGCCGTCACCACGGCCATGCGCAAGGGCGAAGACGTGGAGACGTCTAAGAAGTGTGAGTGGCCAACGTGGACACGGACGGACAAGACGCGGCGAGAGAGACACTGAACAACCACACAGGGACATGAACAGCGACGCACGGACACACAGACAGGCACACACAGACACGTGCAGACAGCCCGTGTGCGTAGCTGTTGCCATGTCCGGTTGACCTACCAACTGGTGTACCGAGTGACGAACTGTCTGGGGCGCCACGGTGGCAAGATGTTGACTACCTCGCCTGGTACGCAGGAGTTCGTGGGTTCAATCCCGACCCTGACGCCTGCTGCTGTATATTTGGAGTTTGCGTCTCTCTCTCATCATCATCACGGTGGCTAGGAGATGTTAACTACCTCGCCTGGTCTACAGGAGGTCGTGGGTTCGATTCCGACCCCGACGCCTGCTGTATATTTGGAGTTTGCATCTCTCTCTCATCATCACAGTGGCTAGGAGATGTTGACTACCTCGCCTGGTAGGCAGGAAGTCGTGGGTTCGATCCCGACCCTGACGCCTGCTGCTGCTGTATATTTGGAGTCTACGTCTCTCTCCCCGTGGTCGTGGGGAATTTTCTCCGGGTCCTCTGGTTTTTCCCCTCCACATTTCGAATCGACGTCGCCACTCGTTCAGGGTATTTGGCTGCTACAAATTGCCACGCGAGGGTGATGAGGCACGTCTTTGAGCTGCTATCATTTGCGATGGCGAGGTCGCGTCTGAATAAGTAATATTTAAAAAAAACTTTCTTTATAAACACGCTTTAATGTACCGTACTCGTAATAGCAGAACTCCACGACTCCAGGAAGTGGCCCCGAAGTTTGCCACGTCAGGGGCCGTGGCCAATTACAGCCAACGTCAGTTGAGCGTGGACAATTAGACCCAAGCCGAAACATAACATCAAAAATGATGTTTAAAAAGATAGATTTTTTTTAAATGATGGAATATAGTATTGTCATCAGTATGACATACGTATACCAAGTTTGCAGTCGATACCACATTGGGAAGTGGGTTAAAATTGAGTTGCAAGATTTGAGGATACGACAACAACAACAGTGAGTTAAATAAAAGCGTGTAAAAGAGATTACTACGCATCTCAGCGGCCCCTTACCTGCTAATATAAAGTTTAGTTTATTCTAGATTTGCAGCTTTCGTGACTGCAAGGATTCATACCCTTAGGTTTTTTCGGTAAAGTCACGTAGGTAAAAAATAAACAATAAAATAAATAAGAAAAATTATATAAATTAATTAATAAATCCGTTTAGTTTATACTGACTGACTCACCGACTGACTCACCGACTGACTCACCGGCCTGACTGCCCTGGCTTTTGCCGTTGACGACGCTCCGGCCTGACTGTCCCCGGCGGTTGCCGTTGACGACGCTCCGGCCCGACTGCCCCCGGCGGTTGCCGTTGACGACGCTCCGGCCTGACTGTCCCCGGCGGTTGCCGTTGACGACGCAGGGTCGGCGGGTCAGAACCGTCAGCACGTCACTCACCGCAACACGGCGAAGCTGGACCGCGAGACGGAGGAGCTGCACCACGACCGCGTGCCGCACGAGGTGGGCAAGATCATCCAGAAGGGGCGCCAGGACAAGGGGCTCACGCAGAAGGACCTCGCCACGGTGAGCAGCTGCCGCAGGGTGCCGCTGTGCCCCCTGCCGTGCGCTCTGTGCTCGCCCTGGAGCTCGCTCTCTCCGTGTGTCTCGCTCCGTGTCTCTCCCCGTGTGTCTCACCCAGTGTGTCTGTGCCTCTCCCCGCGTGTGTCTCTCTCCCCGCGTCTCTCTCTCCCCGCGTGTCTCTCTCCCCGCGTGTCTCTCTCCCCGTGTCTCTCTCTCTCCGTGTCTCTCTCCCCGTGTCTCTCTCTCTCCGTGTGTGTCTCTCTCCCCGTGTCTCTCTCTCTCCGTGTCTCTCTCCCCGTGTGTGTCTCTCACCCCGCGTGTCTCTCTCCCCGCGTGTCTCTCTCCCCGCGTGTCTCTCTCCCCGCGTGTCTCTCTCCCCGCGTGTCTCTCTCCCCGCGTGTCTCTCTCCCCGCGTGTCTCTCTCCCCCCGTGTCTCTCTCCCCCCGTGTCTCTCTCCCCCCGTGCTCTCCCCGTCCTCTCTCTCCGTGTCTCTCTCCCCGTGTGTGTCTCTCACCCCGCGTGTCCTCTCTCCCCCGCGTGTCTCTCTCCCCGCGTGTCTCTCTCCCGCGTGTCTCTCTCCCCGCGTGTCTCTCTCCCCGCGTGTCTCTCTCCCCGCGTGTCTCTCTCCCCCGTGTCTCTCTCCCCCCGTGTCTCTCTCTCTCCGTGTCTCTCTCCCCGTGTCTCTCTCTCTCCGTGTCTCTCTCTCTCCGTGTGTCTCTCTCCCCATGTGTGTCTCTCTCCCCGTGTGTGTCTCTCTCCCCCGGTCTCTCTCCCCGGTCTCTCTCCCCCGCGTGTCTCTCCCCCCCGTGTCTCTCTCCCCCCGTGTCTCTCTCCCCCCGTGTCTCTCTCCCCCCGTGTCTCTCTCACCCCCGTGTCTCTCTCCCCCCGTGTCTCTCTCCCCCCGTGTCTCTCTCCCCCGTGTCTCTCTCCCCCCGTGTCTCTCTCCCCCCGTGTCTCTCTCCCCCCGTGTCTCTCTCCCCCCGTGTCTCTCTCCCCCCGTGTCTCTCTCCCCCCGTGTCTCTCTCCCCCCGTGTCTCTCTCCCCCCGTGTCTCTCTCCCCGTGTCTCTCTCCCCGCGTGTCTCCCCGTGTCTCTCTCCCCGCGTGTCTCCCCGTGTCTCTCTCCCCGCGTGTCTCCCCGTGTCTCTCTCCCCGCGTGTCTCTCTCCCCACGTGTCTCTCTCCCCCTGTCGTCTCTCCCCACGTGTGTCTCTCCCCCCGTGTCTCTCCCCCCGTGTCTCTCCCTCCGTGTCTCTCCCCCCGTGTCTCTCTCCCCCTGTGTCTCTCCCCCCTGTGTCTCTCCCCCCGTGTCTCTCTCTCCCCGTGTCTCTCTCCCCCCGTGTCTCTCCCTGTGTCTCTCTCCCCCCGTGTCTCTGACTATGCGCGTCCCTTTGCCGCAGAGAATCAACGAGAAGCCCAACGTGATCACGGATTACGAGGCTGGCAAGGCGATCCCCAACAACCAGATCCTGGGCAAGATCGAGAGAATCATCGGTGAGTTCGGGGGTGTGTGTGGGTGTGTGTGGGGGTGTGTGGGTGTGGGTGTGTGTGGGTGTGTGTGTGGGTGTGTGTGTGTGGGTGTGCGGGTATGTGTGTGCATGTGGTGTATTGGGAGCGGTGGTGCAGCCTTTAGCGCTACGCTGCGCTACGAACCCGGCGACCCGAGTTAAATTCCCGCTCACGGCCAATGCCAGTGATGATTATCCGAACCGGTCCTGTGCCTCCCCTAGGTCTGCTCGGCCTCAAATGAGTACCTGGTGCGGTGTGCGGTAAACATGGCCACTCGGGAGACACAGGCGGCCGGGCGTGGTGCTGGCCACCCACCCCTCGTGCGCCGCTGCTACTCGCTAACGGCATCGGCCTCTACAAGGCCTAAGTGGTGGTGGTGGTGGCGTCTGTGTCTCTGTGTCTAGGTCTGAAGCTGAGGGGCAAGGAGCTGGGAGAGCCGATGGGTGCAGTCATCCCCAGCAAGAAGAAATGAAACCCTGCTGCCCTTCCAGCCCTGCCCCCGCCTGCCCTTCTCCCTGTCAGTCCCCTGCGTGACATGAAGCTACGTCGGCTGGGCTGACGATGATGCCGCCAGCCAATGCTGTGCTGGTTAATGCACGCACTCGCGTACGCACACACGCATGCGCTCGCACACACACTCACGCACACACACTCACGCACACACACACATGCGCTCGCACACACACTCACGCACACATACTCACACACACACTCGCACATGTGTGCACGCTCACACTCGCACGCACACGCATGCGCTCGCACACACACACACGCACACACAGTGCCACACACACTGCACACCTACCCACACACACACAGCGCCACACACGCACACACAGCGCCACACACGCACACTCGGACCACCTCACCACAGCTCCAACTCCAACCACCAGTCCGTGGTGGTTGCTGTCAATTGTGAACCCCCACGCCACTCACCACGCTACTCACCACGGACACTCACCAACGGACACGCTTGCAACGCGGCCCAGTCACACACCTCGCCCCCCCCCCCCCCCTACTCCACAACCACTCGCTCACAAGTGGACAAAGGGGTCGGAGGGGCGGATTGCTTCCGCTGTGACCCCCCCCTTACCCCCCCCCCCCCCGTCGCCGCTAGGTTGAGCTGGAAGTCCGAGATAATTCGGGGGGGGGGTCAGGTTTGGAGCGTTCGGGGGGGGGGGGGGTCATTGTTCAAGGGGTCAGGGTAGACGTGGCAGGAGGCTGGTGCTTTGGTCTTATGATTAGTCGTGTGGTTGGGGTGTCAAGTGTTAGGACTCGTGTGTGTGGGGGTGACGTTAGTCTCACGGCGGCTGTGTGTGTGGGGGTGACGTCAGTCCCACGGCGGCTGTGTGGTTGGGGCTGGTGGTTAGCGTTGGGGTTCAGTGTTGGTTGCGAAGCTACGTTGAGTACTTGGGGCTACGATTGCTTGCGTCATCTGTCGGCCATCCGGGTTTTGCCGACTTGAGCGCAATTTGGTTCTTCTTGTCACCCGCTAATTGGCGACGTTCTCTTGAGCAGCAGCAGCAGCAGCAGCAGTAGTAGTAGTAGCAGCAGCTGCAGTAGCAACAGCAGTAGTAGTAGTAGCAGCAGCAGTAGCAACAGTAGTAGCAACTGCAGTAGCAGCACCTCGCCTGTCACTGGCCTTTCCCCGGTTCCTGTCGCCCACACGACCGGCACTCCGACTCCAATTCCTCTCAGAGTACAAAACAACGCAGTCTTCCCACTCATCATCACCACCACCACCACCACCCAGCCCACCCACTACTTCCCCGATACAGCTAAATAATTAAATATGTTTTTATATTCTAATTGACACACGTGGTTTTCTTTTCCATTTCTTTTATGCAGGCAACCTCGCCCCCCCCCCCCCGGTACTCTTCTTTGGTGTTTTTTTTAACCGACCCAAAAGTTGCTGCTTATAATCCACAAATTTTTTGTTTTTTAGAGAATTGCTGCAGCAACCATTGCCCGTGACACGTGCCCGTGACAGTCGCCATACAAAAATGTCCCCGGTGTGTCGCGGCCTTCGAGGCTCGGGGAAGGGAGTGGAGGGGGGGGGGGGTCTTGGGTTGCATGCAACCAGAGCCGGGTTGCAACGCAATCGAACCACCCGCAAGTCACCGGCGATTCCCGGTCAAAATCTCCGAGCGGTCTCGGTTGAGCGCTAAAGCCGTTGTTTGTTAGTGGTGGCGATTCGGTGCTGGAGGAGCAGCAACTGCGGACTTAGGTGGAGAGCATTTATCTGGTCCTGGTCGCGGTGGTGGTGGCTGTTGTTGTTGTTGGTTGTTGCAAGTTGTGGTCCTGCGACGGACAACAGTGTTGGGCTAAAAGCACGCGCGTGATTTTCTTTTTGTTTTTGCCGAACTCTCTCCTCCAGCCCCCCCACCCTCCCCCGTTACACCATCACCACGAATCACATTTTCATGAAAAAATAAAAATGTCATTGAAAAAAGAATTCCTTGAGCCTTCGGGTCGACTTTGGTAGATACAACAACAACAACAACCGCCATTCGCCACTAAGTGGCGGTGACGTCACCACGACGCTTGTGCCAGGCCAAGTGCACCTTGAGGCCACGTGAAGTGTCGAACGCCCGCTGGCAGGCCACGGGTCGACTGACCGATATGACCGAGATGACTGGCTGATGCACCACCTGTGCCCCCTACTGTACCAACTTGCTGTGCTTTAGCCACCCGGCGCTCCGCTCGTTGTTGTGAGCGTCGCTCCTCCGCCCTCCGTTGTTGTTGGAGGGTGACTGCCTCCAACTGCCCAGTAGCGTCCTTCACGAGCCTCCTCCACTGAGGCCGATCTTGACACCGCTGGTACCAGTCATTGGCAAGTCCATTCAGCTCCACGTCCTCCTGTGCCACATCACTCCATCTCTTCTCTAGCCCGTGCCACGCCCGTTTATCCCCCTCGATCCGGCTAAAGAAAATCTGTTCAAGCATGCAGTGGCTGGGCATGCGGGCTACATGGCCCAGCCAACGCAGCCTTGCCTGCCAGAGGAGCTCACCGATGGGACTTTGCCCAAATATTTAAAGGATTTGTGAGCTCCTCACACAATCCAGCCTGGTTAAACCCAGGATGGATCGTAGGCAGGCCAGCCTAAATGTTTCCAACCGGCTCCATTACGGGGGTCCACGTTTCGCAAGCGTAGAGAAGGGAGGGAATGACCGTGGCCAAGAAGACCTGAAGCTTCGTGCGGAGTGACAGACCAGGTAGCTTACACACAGCAGTATTACGCAATTGATGAATAGATAATGCCGCTCGACTGATTCAGAGTGAGACCTCTGCTGTTAAACTGGAGCCGGTCATAAGCACACTGCCCAGGTATGGGAAACTCTCCACTCTCTCCACAACTGCCCCATCACCGATTGGGAGTTGTGTGGGTGGAGTGTCCAATGGTACAAAATACCTAGGCAGGTGCTTAATTTTGGTGGGGCTGATGGTAAGGCCCCACCTCTCATACACACACACACTGGCATACACACGTGTACATAAGAACAAAGATCCCCCATATAGCCTGTAACAGACTGTTGGGGCAAGTGCTGTTAGCGAGCACCTATGAAGACCGGCTCGCCATACAAACGGGGTGGGATGTGTGTGCCCAGAACCACGCCCGGCCGCCTTTGTCTCCCCAGTGCCGATGTTACACGCAGCGTTGACGTTCACACGTCAACGCACTCGTTTCGGGGCCGAGTTGACCTCGAGCGGGGCCAGATCTCGGGGTTTGCCAGGTTCAAAGGTCGGCACGCGAACCACCGCATCGATGCGCGGGGAGCCGTCGACACGGCCGGCGAGCGGAACGTCGAGTAAGAATGGGCTGCATTAAGTGTTCCCGGATCTTCATAAAAATGAAAGTCGGGCCTGTAAGGTTGTGGACGAGGCACGGGGTCGAAGAAACACGGCCGCCAACGTACGTCAGAGAGTGCGTAGAGGGGGAGCAGTGGTGTAGCAGCGGCGGTGTGTAGTAAACATCGCCACTGGGGAGACAAAGGCGGTCGGGCGTGGTGCTGGCCACCCACCCACTCGTGTGCCGTTGCTTGCCTTCATAGGTGCTCGCTAACAGCACTTGCCCCTACAGTCTTAGGGCTATATGGGGGATCTTTGTGTATGGGGGAGCGGTGGTGTAGCGGTTAGCGCTACGAACCTGGTGACCCGAGTTCAATTCCCGCTCACGACCAACACCGGTGACGATTATCTGAACCAGTTCTGGGACTCCCCTAGGTCAACTCAGCCACAAATGAGTACCCGGTGCGATGTGTGTAGTAAACATCGTCACTGGGAGAGACAAAGGCGGCCGGGCGTGGTGTTGGCCACCCATCCGCTCGTGTGCCGTGCCGGCCTTCACAGGCGCTGCTCGCTGACAGCACTTGCCCCAACAGTCTGTTACAGGCTACACGGCCTGCATGCTGCTTTACATTACCACGCGATGATGATGATGATCTTCTTGATTCTTTCGGTAGTCACGTAGAAGCGAAATAATAAAATAATTCTCACGACGTTTCGGCCACAACGCAAGCAGCGGTCCTCAGGTGAAGAACAGGTCTGTCATTCAGACGCTGTCTTCCCGACAGACCTGGTCTTCACCTGAGGACGGCTGCTTGCGTTGTGGCCGAAACGTCGTGAGAATTATTTTATGTTTTATTTTTATTATTTCCCTTCTACGTGACTTTGCCGAAAGAACCAAGAAGATGAATCCCTGCAGTCACGAAAGCTTTACGTCGAAAGATGATGATAATGATCATCAGCCGACCACTTCCTTGAGCTATTAATTGCGATGGCCTGGGTCGCTTGTGCACAAAAAGAGCTCCACACCTCAGTTGGGGTGGGGGGGGGCGAGCGATCTTTGTGTTGTGTGTTCAACTTCTTTCGCGCCGTACGCACAACCAAAAAACCCGCGGATATCCGACTTCGCCAAATGTGACGGGACCTGCAACTCGTTGGCGGTGTTCGTGGGGGGAGGTGAGTGGGTGGCGTTATTTTATTTTATTGAAAAAAAAAATAGCCAGCGGCGTAATATTTACTAAACGCGTCGAGCCGAGCGAATGATCATCGGGATACGCGTTGACGGCTCGGCCCCGTCAAGTCACGTGGGGGGGGGGGGAGCAGAGGTCGTAACCGGGTACCCGATACCCGTACCCTACCCGATACCCGGCTACCCGTACCCGGCCGGGTATCGGGTACGGGTAGGCCGTGAGTCACTGGTGAGTCACCGTTTGTCACTCATTTCCCAACGTCTTGTCTCTTCTCACAATTCAAGTTCCTAGAATCAACCCACCCGCGCCTGCAACGTGGCTTCATCCCAGAGGTCGCAATCGAGTACCCGGCCGGGTACGGGTAGGGTACGGGTACGGCCGGGTATGGGTACCCGTTTGCGACCCTGGTGCGGCCGGGTACGGGCAAGGAATCAAAACCCGTTTGCGACCTCTGACCCTCGCCGCCGGCCCCCCCTCGCTGCCGGCCCCCTCTTAAGGACGATCCAATATGAACCGAGCGTCGCGTTCAGCTGCTGTGCTGCCGTGACCGCGGGGGGAGCGAGCCGTCCGCGGCCGCCACGAGCGCCCGCGCTGACCCAACGTGGTGAAGTATGGTCAAACACCCCCCCCCCCCCCCACTACTACGACCGACACGATTGGGAAAAGGCCTTCGTCCGGCATTAGATTAACAAAGGGTTGTATTATCATATGTACATGGTACTGTGCGTACGCGTGAGAGCGCGCGCGTGTGTGTACTGGTGTGTGTGTGTACTGGCATGCATGTGTGTACTGGCGTGTGTGTGTGTGTACTGGCGTGCGTGTGTGTACTGTGGACACACGCACACCCTGTGCCGTGCATGGCGAGTTGGTGCGTGTGTTTGTACTTGTGTACGTGGGGAGCGGTAGCGTATCGGTTAGGGGCCATCCATTTAGTACGCACGCAAACATCGGTAAAAATTTGACCCCTCCCCCCCTTCACTTTTTACACCCTCCCCTCCTGCGTTCGCTCGCTTGACGCACCACCCCACCCCCCCAGAATCCCATAGAACGGCCGATATTTTGTATAGGTTCAAAAGATCTGTTATATTCTTTGAACCCATCAACGTGACTTTACCCAAAGACCCATGAAAGCTTCAAGTCAAGATTTCAACGTCTCTTGTGATCTCAAAACACAATTAAAACTCGGTGAACTTGTCTTTATAAAAAGTGCGTCGACTGACCATCTGCTGTAACAGGAGCCCGATGCACAGACCAGTATTAGTACTCAAGTCCAGGCAGCAGCAGCAGCAGCACAGAGCGGCAGCTAAAATCTTGAGCGAGCGGCAGTCTGCAGCGAGGCAACATTGCAGGATGTGTGATCATCGTCCATGGTGGTACAGGCCGCCAGACGATGAGAGACTCACTGCTGAGCTGAGTGACAGTCAGGGGCACAGTGGCCAGAGGTCGCAAACGGGTTTTGATTCCTTGCCCGTACCCGGCCGCACCAGGGTCGCAAACGGGTACCCGTACCCTACCCGATACCCGGCTACCCGTACCTGGCCGGGTATCGGGTAGGGTACGGGTATCGGGTACCCGATTGCGACCTCTGGGATGAATTCTAGATTTGAAGCTTTCGTGACTGCAAGGATTCATATTCTTAGGTTTTTTCCGGAATTTCTCTCACTTGATACAGCAATCGTGCTGTAACGGTTTTCACCCGAAGACGGAAGCTTGTGTTGCCTCCGAAACGTCGTGGTTTTTATTTGATTTTTATTTTACTCTGGGATGAAGCCATGTTGCAGGCACGGGTGGGTTGATTCTAGGAACTTGAATTGTGAGAAGAGACAAGACGTTGGGAAATGAGTACCCGGCCGCACCAGGGTCGCAAACGGATACCCGTACCCAGCTGGGTACGGGTAGCCGGGTATCGAGTAGGGTACGGGTATCGGATACCCGGTTGCGACCTCTGACGGTGGCACGCAAGCGACACCTCTCCCACAGTCCCACTTCTCCCGGCAGTACAGCTCTAGACACTGAACTGTGGCTCACTTGAAGGCCGTATGTCGACAATTTGTTACCGAGGCTTCACACCCCCGTACATTGTCGGTAGACCCCCGATACGCAAGCGAACGCATTTGGGTTAACCCCCCCTCCCTCCCCCCTCCATGCGTACGGACTCAATGGACGGCCCCTTAGCGCCACGCTTGCGAACCCGGCGACCAGAGTTCCATTCCCGCTCACGAACACCGCCGACACCACCGCTGGCGATTATCCGAACCGGTCCTGGTGCCTCCTCCCCCTAGGTCGGCTCGGCCTCAAACGAGTATCTGGTGCGACGTGTAGCAGACATCGCCACCGGTGGGAGACAGAGGCGGCCGGGTGTGGTGGTGCTGGCCACCCGCCACCTCGTGTGCCACAGCGCCGGTCTTCGTAGGTGCTGCTCACTAACAGCACTTGCTTCCAACAATCTGTTAAGGCTACACAGGGGATCTTTGTTGTGTGTGTGTGAGCGAGTGTGTGTGTGAGCGAGTGTGTGAGCGAGTGTGTGTGTGTGAGCGAGTATGTGTGTGTGTGAGCGAGTGTGTGTGTGACCGAGTGTGTGTGTGAGCGAGTGTGTGTGTGACCGAGTGTGTGTGTGACCGAGTGTGTGTGTGAGCGAGTGTGTGTGTGTGTGAGCGAGTGTGTGTGTGTGTGAGCGAGTGTGTGTGTGTGTGAGCGAGTGTGTGTGTGAGCGAGTGTGTGTGTGTGAGCGAGTGTGTGTGTGTGAGCGAGTGTGTGTGTGAGCGAGTGTGTGAGCGAGTGTGTGTGTGTGTGAGCGAGTGTGTGTGTGACCGAGTGTGTGTGTGAGCGAGTGTGTGTGTGTGAGCGAGTGTGTGTGTGTGAGCGAGTGTGTGTGTGTGTGAGCGAGTGTGTGTGTGTGTGAGCGAGTGTTTGTGTGAGCGAGTGTGTGTGAGCGAGTGTGTGTGTGTGAGCGAGTGTGTGTGTGTGAGCGAGTGTGTGTGAGCGAGTGTGTGTGTGTGAGCGAGTGTGTGTGTGAGCGAGTGTGTGTGTGACCGAGTGTGTGTGTGTGAGCGAGTGTGTGTGTGAGCGAGTGTGTGTGTGTGTGAGCGAGTGTGTGTGCGAGCGGTTAGCGCTACGCTGCACTACAAACCAGGCGTCCCGAGTTCGATTCCCGCTCACGGCCAACACCAGCGACGATTGTCAGAACCGGTCCCGAGCCTCCCCTAGGTCGACTCAGCCTAAAACGAGTTACCTGGTGCGTTGTGTAAACATCGCCTCTGGGGAGACAAAGGCGGCCGGGCGTGGTGTTGGCCACCCACCCCCTCGTGTGCCGTGTCGGCCTTCATAGGTGTTACTCGCTAACAGCACTTGCCCCTACAGTCCGTTACAGGCTACAACGGGGAAATCGCCGGCGCCGCCGCCGCCATCACCACCACCGCCATCGCCCTACATGGTGAGGGAGATGTCCGTGAGCGCCCTCTGCAAGATGGTGCTCGCCATCATCACCATCATCACCGTCATCATCACCATCACCACCACCGCAGCCATCATCACCATCACCACCACCGCAGCCATCATCACCGCTGCCATCACCGCCACCGCCGCCCTACATGGTGAGGGAGATGTCCGTGAGCGCCCTCTGCAAGATGGTGCTCGCCATCATCACCATCATCACCGTCATCATCACCATCACCACCACCGCAGCCATCATCACCGCTGCCATCACCGCCACCGCAGCCCTACATGGTGAGGGAGATGTCCGTGAGCGCCCTCTGCAAGATGGTGCTCGCCCTCCCGCTGGGAAGCAGCTCCTTGGCCTGCAACTCCTCCACGAGTTCACGGAGGTCGCGCCAGCGCCGCTCGGCCCGGCGCGCGCGCTGCCGGCACAGCTTCAGCTTGCGCCGCGCCCCCTCCAGCTCCTCCTCGAGCCGCACGATCTTGCGCTTGGCCACGCCGGGCGTGCCCAGCGAGTAGTTGTGCTCGAGGCCGACTCCGCGCGGCGCCGGCGGGGCGCACACGCCCGCCACCGACAGGAGGCGCCCCACCGTCGCCACGGCGCTGGCGCGGCTCGGGGCGCCGGCGGCGTCGGCCGGCGCGTCGCCGCCGCCGTCGGGGCCGTCTCCGTCGCCGCCGTCGCCGTCGTGGCCGGGGCTCGGCATGAAGTGCGTGGCGTTGACGAAGGTCGCCAGCTCGCCGGCCACGGAGCCGTCGTCCAGGAGCTTGACGCGTCGGCGCCGCCGCTTGGGGTGAGGGGACGTGGCGGCGGCGGCGGAGTCGGCGCCATCTTCCAGCTGCTGCTGCGGCTGCTGCTGCTGCTGCGGCTGCTGCGGGGCCAGCTGCGGCTGATCCAGCAGCAGCTGCTGGAGCTGCTGCTGCTGCTGTAGCTGCAGCTGCAGCTCATACTGCTGCTCCTGTTCCTGAGACAGTGGCTGTAACTGCGGTGGCGGCTGGGACTGTGATTCTTGCTCCTCCTGCTGCTGCAGTTGCAGCTGCAGCTTCTTCTTCTTGAGTCGCCGGCGGGAGGTGGAGGCCTGGAGGAGAGAGAGAGACGGAGGCTACGTGGGGTGGTCTGTGTGTATCTGTGCGTCCGTGTGTCTGTGCGTCCCTGTGTGTGTCTGTGCATCGGCCTCTGTGGAGGAGGCTCGTGAAGGACGCTACTGGACAGTTGGAGGCAGTCGCCCTCCAACAACAACGGAGGGCGGAGGAGCGACGCTCACAACAACGAGCGGAGTGCCGGGTGGCTAAAGCACAGCAAGTTGGCACAGTAGGGGGCACAGGTGGTGCATCAGCCAGTCATCTCGGTCATCTCGGTCAGTCGACCCGTGGCACCTGCTGGGTCTTCCCCGTGACCTCCTGCCAGCGGGCGTTTGACACTTCACGTGGCCTCAAGGTGCACGTGGCCTGGCACGAGCATCGTCGTGACGTCACCGCCACTTAGTGACGAATGGCGGTTGTTGTTGTGTGTCCCTGTGTCTGGGTGTCTCTATGTTCCTGTGTCCGTGTGTGTCCCTGTACCCCTGTCTCTATGCCTGTGTGTCTACGCGTGCACAAGCGAGTATATTCATATGGCGAGAGGCGCTGCAGCGGTTAGCGCTACGCTGCGCTTCAAACCCGGCGACCCGGGTTCGATTCCCGCTCACGGCCAACACCAGTGACGATTATCTGAACCGGTCCTGCGCCTCCCCTAGGTCGACGCAGCCTCAAATGATGAGTACCTGGTGCGGCGTTCATTAAACATCGCCACTGGGGAGACAAAGGCGGCCGGGCGTGATGTTGGCCACCCCCATCACGTGCCGAAACCGGGCTTCATAGGTGCTACTCGCTAACAGCACTTGCCCCAACAGTCTGTTCAGGCTACACGGGGGGTCTTTGTCTGTGTGGTGCCGGACGGTAACGCTGTGGTGGTCGTGAGCAATGCCAGGGAAGGAACGCCGATCACCTCATGGTGCTCACAGCCACCACAGCGGCCAAACGGGGGGCTCTGGACGGGTGTGGGGGGCCAGTGACCCCTCCACCTTCACTCAAGTTCGTGCAAAATATCGAACTCGGCTTGACCCTAAAGTGCACACAGCCTGGCACAAGCGCCGTGGTGACGTCGCCGCCACTTAATGGCGGTTGTTGTTGTTGTCTGTGTATGCTTCTGTGCAGAGACACGCGCAGAGACACTTGGGAGACGCACGCGCAGACATGCTCACACAGACGACACACGCAGATGACACGCACAGACACACGCAGATGACACGCACAGACACACGCAGACGAGACACGCACAGACACACGCAGACGAGACATGCACAGACACACGCAGACGACACGCACAGACACACGCGGATGACACGCACAGACACACGCAGACGACACACGCAGACGAGACACGCACTCACAGACGACACACAGACGACACGCACAGACACACGCAGACGACACGCACAGACACACGCAGATGACACGCACAGACACACGCAGACGACACACGCAGACACACGCAGACGAGACACGCACTCACAGACGACACACAGACGACACGCAGACGACACGCACGCTCACAGACAACACGCACGCTCACAGACGACACACGCACACAGACGACACACACAGACGAGACACACAGACGACACGCAGACAACACGTAGACGACACGCACACACGTGTTGGCACGCCGTCTCACCGTGTACTTGGGGAAGCTGAAGATGGAGGGGAGCGAGTTGTCGCGTAGCCGCGTGGTCTGCCCCGTGCGGTCGAAGCAGGAGGAGTGGAAGTGCTTGGAGCACAGCGACGTGTGGCGGCTCGGCACGAAGTTGATGCGGCGCACGCGGCGCACCCACTCACGGCGCCGCAGCGGGTCCAGCGGGAACCTGGGGGGGGAGGGGGGGGTGGAGGGGAGGGGTGGAGGGGAGGGGGGGAGAGGTGGGGGGGAGGGGTGGAGGGGAAGGGGGTCGTGGGGGGGGGTCGTGGTGGAGGGGAGGTGTGGGGGGGAGGGGTGGAGGGGAGGGGGGTCGTGGTGGGGGGGAGGGGGGTCGTGGTGGTGGAGGGGGGGGGTCGTGGTGGTGGAGGGGGGGGGGTCGTGGTGGATGGGGGGGGGTCGTGGTGGGGGGGAGGGGGGTCGTGGTGGGGGGGAGGGGGGTCGTGGTGGAGGGGGTCGTGGTGGGGGGGAGGGGGGTCGTGGTGGAGGGGAGGGGGGGTCGTGGTGGAGGGGGTGGAGAGGGGGGGGAGGGGTGGGGGGGGAGGGGAGGGGGGGAGCGGGGGGGGTCGTGGTGGAGGGGGGGTGGTGGGGAGGGGGGTGGTGGTGGGGGAGGTGATGTGTAAACACCGCATCAGGTTACTCATTTGAGTCTGAGTCGACCTAGGGGAGGCCCAGGACCGGTTCAGATAATCGTCACTTGGTGTTGGCCGTGAGCGGGAATCGAACCCGGATCGCTGGGTTCATAGCGCAGCGTAGCGCTAACCGCGACACCACCGCTCCCCACACACACGTACCTACACACACGTACCTACACACACGTACCTACACACACGTACCTACACACACGTACCTACACACACGTACACACACCTACCCACACACACACCTACACACACACGCCTACACACACACACCTACACGCACACACCTACACGCACACACCTACACGCACACACCTACACGCACACACCTACACGCACACACACACACCTACACGCACACACACACCTACACACACGCACCTACATGCACACACGCACCTACACACACACGCACCTACACACACCTACACCTACACACACACCTACACACACACACACACCGACACACACACACACCTACACACACACACACCTACACACACACACCTACACACACAAAGATCCCCCGTATAGCCTGAACAGACTGTAGGGGCAAGTGCTGTTAGCGAGCACCTATGAAGGCCGGAACGGTACACGAGGGGGTGGGTGGCCAGCACCACGCCCGACCGCCTTTGTCTCCCTAGTGGCGATGTTTACACACGCACCAGGTACTCATTTAAGGCTGAGTCGACCTAGGGGAGGCCCAGGACCGGTTCAGATAATCGTCACTGGTGTTAGCCGTGAGCGGGAATCGAACCCGGGTCGCCAGGTTCATAGCGCAGCGCGCTAACCGCTACACTACCGCTACCCACCTACACACACACACACCTACACACACACACACCTACACCCACGCACAAACGCGTTGTGCACCGTCGCACTTTGGGACTCGCTTGCGCCCAGGGGATGTTGCCAGGGTGGGGACCGTTACCTCCGGCGCCCCTCTCGCTCCACGCGCCTCTCACTCGTCCCAATCGTCGTCACCCATCGTTCACTTCAGAGGCTCACCCACCCACCCGCTCGCTCACCCACCCGGTCACCCACTCGCTCACATACTCACCCACCCATCCACTCACCCACCCGCTCACCCGCCCATCCGCTCGCTCGCCCGCTCGCTCGCCCGCCCGCCCGCCCGCCCGCCCGCTCGCTCGCCCGCCCGCTCGCTCGCCCGCCCGCCCGCTCGCCCGCCCGCTCGCCCGCCCGCTCGCCCGATCGCTCGCCCGCTCGCTCGCTCACCCACCCACCCGCTCGCTCACCCACCCACCCGCTCACCCACCCACCCGCTCACCCACCACCCGCTTACCCACCCACCCGCTCGCTCACCCGCTCACCCACCCACTCGCTCACATACTCACCCACCCATTCACTCACCCACTCGCTCTCTCACCTGCCTACCCGCTCGCTCACCCGTTCACCCACTCGCTCGCTCACTCATTCATTCGCTCACCTACCCGCTCGCTCACCCACTCGCTAGCTCACCCATTCATTCGCTCGCTCGCTCGCACGCTCGCTCGCCCCGCCCGCTCGCCCGCCCGCTCGCCCGCCCGCCCGCTCGCTCGCCCGCTCGCTCGCTCGCCCGCCCGCTCGCTCGCCCGCCCGCTCCGCTCGCTCGCCCGCCCGCTCGCTCGCCCGCTCGCCCGCCCGCTCGCCCGCTCGCTCGCCCGCCCGCTCGCTCGCCGCCCGCTCGCTCGCTCGCCCGCCCGCTCGCTCGCCCGCCCGCTCGCTCGCCCGCTCGCCCGCCCGCTCGCCCGCCCGCTCGCTCGCTCGCCCGCTCGCTCGCCCGCTCGCTCGCTCGCCCGCCCGCTCGCTCGCTCGCCCGCTCGCTCGCTCGCCCGCTCGCTCGCTCGCTCACCCGCTCGCTCGCTCACCCGCTCGCTCGCTCACCCGCTCGCTCGCTCACCCGCTCGCTCGCTCACCCGCTCGCTCGCCCACCCGCTCACCACCCACTCGCTCACATACTCACCCACCCATTCACTGACCCACCCACTCGCTCACCCGCCCACCCACCCGCTCACCCACCCGCTCACCCGCCCGCTCACCCACCCGCTCACCCGCCCGCTCACCCACTCGCTCACATACTCACCCACCCATTCACTGACCCACCCACTCGCTCACCCGCTCACCCGCCCGCTCACCCGCCCGCTCACCCACCCGCTCACATACTCACCCACCCATTCACTGACCCACCGCTCATCCGCCCGCTCACCCACCCGCTCTAATCACCCGTTCACCCACCCGCTCTAATCACCCGCTCTAATCACCCGCTCACCCACCCACCCGCTCACCCACCCAGTCACCCGCTCACCCACCCACCCGCTCACCCACCCGCTCGCCCACCCACCCGCTCGCCCACCCACCCGCTCGCCCACCCACCCGCTCGCCCACCCACCCGCTCACCCACCCACCCCGCTCACCCACCCCCCCGCTCGCCCACCCACTCACCCACCCACTCACCCGCTCACCCACTCACCCGCTCACCCACTCACCCGCTCACCCGGCCACGCGCTTGATGACCACTCGCGCACTCTGCCGCTCACCACCGAGTAGCCCCCCCCCCCTTAGCCTCACAGCTGTTACTCCACCAAAGACAAACGTCCCCCGTGTAGCCTCTAACAGGCTGCAGGGGCAAGTGCTGCTAGCGAGCAGCACCTATGAAGGCTACCGGCACTGTGGCACACGAGGGGGTGGGTGGCCAGCACCACGCCCGGCCGCCTTTGTCTCTCCCCCAGTGGCGATGTTTACACCACCGGACCAGTTTACTCATTTGAGGCTGAGCCGACCTAGGAGAGGCCCACGACCCGAGTCCAAATAGTCAGCTCTATGAGCGTGAATCGAAATCTCGGAGTCGCTGGGTTCATATCGCGGCGCGCTAACCACTGCGCCACCGCTCCCTGTCACAACCGCGCACGCGCGCGCGCCACCGCCACACAAAGCTGCCCCGTATAGCCTCAACGTGCTGTGAGGGGCAAGTGCTGTTAGCGATGTGCACACACACAGACACACACACACACACAGAGACACACACACAGACACACACACACAGAGACACACACAGACACACACACACACAGAGACACACAGAGACACACACACAGAGACACACACACACAGACACACACAGAGACACACTCACACAGAGACACACACACAGACACACACACACACAGAGACACACACACAGAGACACACACACACACAGAGACACACACACACAGACACACACACACAGACACACACACACAGACACACACACACAGACACACACACACAGACACACACACACACACAGAGACACACACACAGACACACACACAGACACACACACAGACACACACACAGACACAGACACACACACACAGACACACACACACAGACACACACACACAGACACACACACACAGACACACACACACAGACACACACACACAGACAGACACACACACACAGACACACACACCAGACACACACACAGACACACACACAACACACAGAGACACACACACAGACACACACACACACAGACACACACACACACACAGAGACACACACACAGACACACACACACACAGACACACACACACACACAGAGACACACACACAGACACACACACACACAGACACACACACACACACAGAGACACACACACAGACACACACACACACAGACACACACACACAGACACACACACACAGACACACACACACACAGACACACACACACACACAGACACACACACACAGACACACACACAGAGACACACACACACACAGACACACACAGACACACACACAGACACACACACAGAGACACACACACGACACACACACACAGAGACACACACACACACGACACACACAGACACACACAGACACACACACACAGACACACAGACACACACACAGGCACACACACGACACACACACACGACACACACACAGACACACACAGACACACAAACAGACACACACACACACACAGAGACAGACACACACACGACACACTCACCAACGCGTCCGTCGGTAGTAACACAGCGCGGCGGTCGAAGTAAAAACACAACGAACGGACGGGCCCCGACGTTTCGGGCGATGGCCCTCCCCCCCCCTCTTCTGAATCTTCGCGCGCAAACGACCGCCTTAGCCGCGCGCACCACGCGATGCTCACCTGTGGAAACTGATGTCGTTGTTTTTGCTCACCACGGACTTGCAGCCGAACGCGGCGCACGTCGTGGGCATCCTGGAGCCGGGGATTTACTTTCTTATTTCGTGGGGGGCGCCCCCCCTTCCCACCCGCGCGCCTTTGCGCGGGAAAAACCGCGGGGGCCTCGCGAACGCCTTGACTAAGATGGCGGCCGCGCGGGGCTTCTTCTCCCTCACCCCGGGGTCACGTGGGCAGCCCCCTCCCCTCCCCTCCACCAACCGACGTGGCCCCGCCCACAGGCGCGCGCCACCCTCCCCCCTTTCCCAGTGACGTCATCGCGTAGAGAGGGAAGGGGGGGAACGTGGCTGCGCGAGGCGACGTGAGCCGTGCGCGGTGACGTCATCACGCACGGCAACGCGAGGCGACGTGAGCCGTGCGCGGTGACGTCATCACGCACGGTTGCGCGAGGCGACGTGTGCCGTGCGCGGTGACGTCATCACGCACGGTTGCGCGAGGCGACGTGAGCCGTGCGCGGTGACGTCATCACGCACGGTTGCGCGAGGCGACGTGAGCCGTGCGCGGTGACGTCATCACGCACGGATGCGCGAGGCGACGCGAGCGGTGACGTCATCACGCACGTATACGTGAGCCGTACGCGGTGACGTCACGCGCCCCTGCGCCCTGGCCCAGGGAAACCCCGTCGCCCTTCTCTCTTTCCCTCTCTCAAGACGAGGCGACGTGCAGGTAGGGCCGCTTCGCTCCGCGTGTCGCGCCGCGTTCGTCGCTCGCTCTCCCTTCCTCGTGATCACCGCCGCGCTCCCTCGGCTCCACCGAGCGAGGAGACGAGAGATCGGCAAGGGAGGCGAGGGCTGTGGCGGATTTGCCGCGTTCGCGACGACCACGGGGTGCAAGGGGGCCGAGAAGGCCGCGCGGAGCCTGAGCTAGGCCCAGGCTGCGTTTCGGGCCTAGTCCAATTTTACAATTAAAAGTTAAAGAGAGTTAAATAGTATCAAGTTGCCTTCTCCCCCCCCCCCCGACACGTAGCTTATCGTATTGGTGTGTGTTTGGATTTGGACGGGTGGCAAGTTATTTTTTGTTGGTGCCAAATTTCCTGTTATGAACCCCTCACGCAGTCGGGGGCGATATTTTCTCATTTTAAATTGTAAAGTTTTATCTCGTCACGTTTCGCACGCACACAACACACAACAACGTGTCGCAGTGCACGACTTCGCCACCGTTTTGCTTTGATACTCGCCCAACCACTAAATCGTAGTTCACCCCTAACGCGTGTTTAGTTGCTTGTATAGTTAAGCCCGCGAGTTGTAGCTTGCGACAAAGTCGCATTGGGTTGCAACATTGCAAGGCATCCGTCCGACTAACCCTTTTAAAGCTGCCCACAAAGCGGTTTGGAGAGTTTCTTTTGTCGACTACGGCAGAGCCATAGACGTGGCGGAGGAGTACAGCACAACACTGGGTCGTGTTGCGTAGCGTGGGGGGCGCTGGTACAGCGGATGGCGATTCCCACACAACGTGGTAGCGTCAAATTTGATTTAAAGATTTCGTGACTGCAGCAGGGATTCATCTTCTTGGTTCTTTCGGTAAAGTCATCACGTAGAAGGAAAACAATAAAATAATAAAAATACAATTCTTCTCACGACGTTTCGGCCACAACGCAAGTAGCCGTCCTCAGGTGAAAACCAGGTCTGTCGAGGCGACAGCGTCTGAATGGTATTGTCAGTGGCTATTGAATCATGGCCCTCCTCACGAGTACGACCCATCCTAACGCGAGTACCTGGTGCGGTGTTGACCGCTAGCACTGGGGAGACAAAGGCGGCCGGGCGTGGTGGTGTTCGCCACACCAACCAACCAACTCTTGTGCGCTGTAACAAGCCTTTATTGGGTGCTTGCAAAAAAGCCCTTGCCCCGGACAGCCAAAGTAGCAAGTCCAATCAGCATTGGACTTGCATAAAAAGCCCCAATATCGTCAATCTATCTTCTTGGCTCTTTCGGTAAAGTCACGTAGAAGGGAAGTAATAAAATGATAAAACATAATAAAATAATTCTCACGACGTTTCGGCCACAACGCAAGCAGCTGTCCTCAGGTGAAGAAGACCAGGTCTGTCGGGAGAGACAGAGTCTGAATGATAGCTCCTTCGCCCGTGGTGTTTGGTTCGTTTGACCACGATGGAGGTCCAGGCGTGTTGGTAACGGCGATAGGGGGAGCGTACGTAGTAGAACCGGGTGCTTAAAAACAATGTTTACACGTCTGAGAATTTGCAACAATACCACGAGAAATTGTGTGTCTCTGGGAGACCACCTGGAGAAAATTCCGGGCACGTGTTGACAACGATGGCGATGAAATGGAGACTCATATTTTTGGTTCTTTCGGTGACTTTACCGAAAGAACCAAGAATATGAATCCCTGCAGTCACGTAAGCTTTAAATCGAAAATAAAAAAGTGGAGACTCGTTGAAATGTTGAAGCTATTGACATGACATTTGTTATTATGTTGCAGTTATTCGTTATTTTTTTCCGTTAAAAACGATAGTCCCATATAAGTGTTGACATTTTTTCAAGCACTCTGTATATAACTCACAGTAGACGGTAACAAGAATTACTGTATACCAACATGACTTTACCGAAAGAACCAAATAGTATGGATTCCTGCAGTCACGAAAGCTTCAAATGAAGACTATAACTAGAATTGACAATTTTTCCTCGACTGGGATTATGCGTACCAATCACCACCCACCCCCTACTGGCAGACGGATGCCTTGGGTCACTCTGTGCCATTATTCTGGCTCATCCTGGCCTTGATATACGAATATGTTTTACCCTCTGGCAATACAACATTGGTTAGGATGTTAAAACACCAAACAGAAAAAAGATGTTAAAATACCAAACAGAAACCTTTTGCAAGGAGCAATCGGTTGCAAAGACGATGCATATGCTACCAGAGCATGTATTTTGTTTGCATGTTAACAAGTATATGTGGTTAATGCAGACATGATTCCTTGCAAATGATTTCTGTTTGGTGTTTTAACATCTTAACACAACTATTTTATTGCCAGAAAGGATAGAACCTATTCTTATATTTTGATACTGGCAAGGAAGCTCCCATGATGTTGCCTCCGAGTTCTCACGGGTTAAACAAAGTAAACTCGAAACTGAAATGGAACTGAAAATGAAACAGGTTGCGAAGTGTTCCAAGAGGTATTCTTGGAATTTCACTGAGACACGGGTAGGACATGGAACAGATTGATAATGAAAGTGGACTTGGGCTGGCAACAAGGAATTATTGGTTGATTGAGTCTGGTGAGTGATATTCTTAGGTTTTTTTCTGTAAAGTCACGTAGGTAAAAAAATTAATAAAAATAAAATAAAAATCACGGCGTTTCGGAGGCAACACAAGCTTCCGTCTTCAGGTGGAACCGTCACAGCACGATAGCTGTATCAAGTGAGAAATTCCAATAAAACAGTCCGTACACCATTGGAACCTCATTTGCCAGTAAAAAATATGATAATTGTTTTTTTACCCTTCCATCTGGCAACAAGGAGTCATGCAAACATGACTCCTTGTAAAAAAAGGTGTCAGTTTTGTTGCCAAATGGAAGGGTAAAAAACCAATTATCAAAACAGTCCTTGTGTATATATATATACTGGTTGAGGGTGGGAGGAGCCAAGGTAGGCCCTGAATATAATTGTTGTGAGATTCGGTGCGGCTGAAGCACGCTGTTAGGAATGAGCCTTTGTTGTGTAGACTGGTGAGTGAGCTAGCGATTTGGTGAGCTGGTGGGCGAGTCCACAGACAAGTTGGATAGTAAAGCTGCTGAGTGGACGGGTGAGTTGGCGAGCTCGTGAGTGAATGCAAGGCTGAGTGGGTTTAGTGACGGGGTGAGCGGTTGAGCTAGCGGGAGAGTTGGTGTTGATGCTGGGGACTCCACACGGCCTGCCCCCCCCACCCCTTGGCTCCTCCCCCCCCCCCCTAGTACCCTATAACACATTCCTGCGGAGGGAGCTGGTAGGAACGTTGGGTTGCTGGGTCAGTGGACTGTTCAGAAACCGCGTTATCGTGTTGTGCATTCCACGTTGTAATTATCCGCGTTGTGGACGAACCGAAAACGCGGTGTATGAACTCCTCCACGCGTTAAGCGAGGACCTGCCGTACGGTGGGGGGTGATGTTTGTGTGGATGAGAGTCGTGTTAATCGAGATGATGCTGATGGTTTGCCGTGTGGGTGCAGAATGGCAGAGCTTGAGGTGGCTCCTGTGGTGGCCGAGGCTCCGGAGATTAAACTGTTTGGACGCTGGAGCACGGAAGATGTGCAGATCAGCGACATCTCCCTGCAGGTGCTTGCTCACAAGACACGCACGGAGACACGCACGGAGAGACGCACGGAGACGCACGGAGACACACGCACGGAGACACGCACGGAGACACGCACGGAGACACGCACGGAGACACACGCACGGAGACACGCACGGAGAGACGCACGGAGACACGCACGGAGACACGCACGGAGAGACGCACGGAGACACACGCACGGAGACACACGCACGGAGACACGCGCACGGAGACACACGCACGGAGACACACGCACGGAGACACACGCACGGAGACACACGCACGGAGACACACGCACGGAGGACACACGCACGGAGACACGCACGGAGAGACGCACGGAGACACGCACGGAGACACGCACGGAGACACGCACGGAGACACGCACGGAGACACGCACGGAGACACGCACGGAGACACGCACGGAGACACGCACGGAGACACGCACGGAGACACGCACGGAGAGACGCACGGAGAGACGCACGGAGACACACGCACGGAGACACACGCACGGAGACACACGCACGGAGACACGCACGGAGAGACGCACGGAGACACACGTTGACAAAAGACAAAATAGTTCACTGCTTTAGCCCACCGTGACACTTTTTTGCTGATTGGCCGTGTCGGGTGGTGGAGGGTTACGACACATTTATAAATAACGCGATCTAAACCCAAAAACGTTGATTTTGGACTTGTGTTTGTACATCGCTACGTGGCCGTCGGGAAGCAATGCCAAGTGCGCGTGTGTGTCTGTGTACAGGACTACGTGGCCGTCAAGGAGAAGTATGCAAAGTACTTGCCCCACAGCTCTGGCCGCTACGCCGCCAAGCGGTTCCGCAAGGCGCAGTGCCCCATCGTGGAGCGGCTCACCAACTCCATGATGATGCACGGACGCAACAACGGCAAGAAGCTGATGACTGTGCGCATCGTCAAGCACGCCTTCGAGATCATCCACCTTCTCACCGGCGAGGTGAGTTAACCCACGGGCGCTCGCCCACCTACTCACGTGCTCACCCACTTACTCACGCGCTCACCCACCTACTCAGCGAGTCGACCGCACCCTCGCCAACCTCACCGGCGAGGTAAGTTAACCCACGCGCGCTCACCCACTCACGCGCTCACCCACTCACGCACTCACCCACTCACCGAATCGACCGTATACTCACCAGCCTCCTCACTGGTGAGGTGAGTTAACCCACGCGCCCTCACCCACCTACTCACGCGCTCACCCACCTACTCACACGCTCACCTACCCACTCATGCACTCACCCACCTACTCACCGAGTCGACCGTATACTCACCAGCCTCCTCACCGGTGAGGTGAGTTAACCCACGCGCGCTCACCCACCTACTCACCACCGAATCGACTACACTCACCAACCTCACCGTTGAGGTGAGAACCAAGCAAGAGTCAACTCCACCTCACTGATGATGATGATGATCAGGGTGATGATGATGATGATCAGGCTGATGATGATGATTAGGATGATGATGATCAGGGTGATGATGATGATCAGGGTGTTGATGATGATGATCAGGGTGATGATGATGATGGTCAGGGTGATGATGATGATGATCAGGGTGATGATGATGATGATCAGGGTGATGATGATGATGATCAGGGTGATGATGATGATGATCAGGATGATGATGATGATCAGGATGATGATGATGATCAGGGTGATTATGATGATGATCAGGGGGTCTTCCTTGCAAGTTGCACTTTCCCCAACACCGTTGTGGACCACATGGGGGGGTGGGCGGGAGCCCTCTCTGTGTCGAGCTTGCGGTGTATGCGGTCGGTTGGCCCCAACAGTCTGCTAAGGCTGTACGGGGGATCTTTGTCTTGTGTGTGTGTAGGGGAGCGGTGGTGTAGCGGTTAGCGCGCTGCGCTACAAACCTTGCGAGCCGGGTTCGATTCCCGCTCACGGCCAACACCGGTGACGATTATCTGAACCGGTCCTGGGCCTCCCCAAGGTCGACTCGGCCTCAAATGAGTACCCGGTGCATTGGCACGAGGGAGACAAAGGCGGCCGGGCGTGGTGTTGGCCAGAGGTCGCAAACGGGTTTTGATTCCGTACCCGGCCGCACCAGGGTCGCAAATGGGTACCCGTACCCGGCCGGGTACGGGTACCCATTCCCTACCCGTACCCATTCCCTACCCGAAATAAGTGACCAACAGTTACTCACCAGTGACTCACGGCCTACCCGTACCCGTACCCGGACGTACCAGGGTCGCAAACGGCTACCCGTACCTGGCTGGGTATCGGGTAGGGTACGGGTATCGGGTACCCGGTTGCGACCTCTGGTGCTGGCCACCCACCCCCTCGTGTGCCACAGTGCCGGCCTTCGTAGGTGCTCGCTAACAGCACTTGCCCCTACAGTGTTAAGGCTACACGGGGGGGGGGTCTGTGTCTTTGTCTTGATAGAACCCACTACAGGTGCTGGTGAACGCCATCATTAACAGCGGCCCGCGTGAGGACTCCACTCGTATTGGTCGTGCGGGCACCGTGCGGCGACAGGCGGTGGACGTCTCTCCCCTCCGTAGGGTCAACCAGGTCAGTCCACTGCTACACTGCCGACACGCACGATGCAGGACCCAGCACTACACCACTCAATGTCACAGCGCACTGGGTCACACACACACACGTATCTGCCCTTCGTAGGGTCAACCAGGTCTCTCCACTACTACTTTGACGACACGCACAGACACTGCTGATGCAGGACCCAGCACTACACCACTCAATGTCACAGCGCATGCAGTCCTACCGCACTGGGTCACACACACACACACACGTATCTGCCCTCCGCTAGGACAACCAGGTCTGTCCACTGCTACACTATACTAATACAATACTCAACCCTACTCCACTCGGTACAACTCCACACAATGAGACAACTACACTCCTACTCACCCGCCCCTCTGCAGGGTCGGCCAGCTACAACCGATTTGTGTATGTTATGGTGGTGCTGTATTATGTATACTTAAGGTGTTTTTGTGGTGCGGATTGTGTATAACGGTTGTTGTGTGGCCAGGCTATCTGGATGCTGTGTGTTGTGTGTAACGTGTGTGTGGTGTGTGTGTAACGTGTGTGTGGTGTGTGTGTAACGTGTGTGTGGTGTGTGTGTAACGTGTGTGTGGTGTGTGTGTAACGTGTGTGTGGTGTGTGTGTAACGTGTGTGTGGTGTGTGTGTAACGTGTGTGGTGTGTGTAACGTGTGTGTGGTGTGTGTGTAACGTGTGTGTGGTGTGTGTGTAACGTGTGTGTGGTGTGTGTGTAACGTGTGTGTGGTGTGTGTGTAACGTGTGTGTGGTGTGTGTGTAACGTGTGTGTGGTGTGTGTGTAACGTGTGTGTGGTGTGTGTGTAACGTGTGTGTGGTGTGTGTGTAACGTGTGTGTGGTGTGTGTGTAACGTGTGTGTGGTGTGTGTGTAACGGGTGTGTTGTGTGTAACACGTGCGTGTGTTGTAACGTGTGCGTGTGTGTAACGTGTGTGTTGTGTGTAACGTGTGTTGTAATGTGTGTGTGTAAAATAACGTGTGTTGTAACGTGTGTGTAACGTGTGTGTAACGTGTGTGTGTGTTGTGTATAACATGTGTTGTAACGTGTGTGTGTAACGTGTGTGTGTAACGTGTGTGTAACGTGCGTGTGTAACGTGCGTGTGTGTAACGTGTGTGTCGTGTATAAAGTGTGTGTGTGTTGTGTATAACGTGTGTTGTGTATAACGTGTGTGTGTGTAACGTGCGTGTGTAACATGCGTGTGTGTAACGCGTGTGTGTTGTGTGTAACGTGTGTGTAACGTGTGTGTTGTGTGTGTTACGTTGCAGGCGATCTGGCTGCTGTGCACGGGAGCGCGTGAGGCCGCATTCAGGAACATCAAGACGATCGCGGAGTGCCTCGCTGATGAGCTCATCAACGCTGCCAAGGTCTCACCACCACCACTCGCCACCACTCACCACCACCACACTCGCCACCACCACACTCGCCACCACGACACTCACCACCACCACTCGCCACCACTCACCACCACCACACTCACCACCACCACACTCACCACCACCACACTCACCACCATCACACTCACCACTACCACTCACCACCACTCACCACCATCACACTCACCACCACCACACTCACCACCACCACACTCACCACCACCACACTCACCACCATCACACTCACCACCACCACTCGCCACCACTCGCCACCACCACACTCACCACCACCACACCACTCACCACCACCACACTCACCACCACCACACTCACCACCATCACACTCACCACTACCACTCACCACCACACTCGCCGCCACCACTCACCACCACCACCACACTCACCACAACTCACCACCACCACACTCACCACCACCACTTGCCACCACTCACCACCACCACACTTCACCACCACACTTCACCACCACACTTCACCACCACCACCCACCACACTCACCACTCTCACCACCCAGTGTATCGCAGACCTGCCCATCAACGACGCCAAGGGCTCACCACTATACAATCACTGCTCGCCATCATAACTCACCACCCAGCGTCCCGTCTTTTCGGTTAGTTCACCGCCGTACGAATCCGGAAACCCGAATTAAATTCATCTTCTTGGTTCTTTCGGTAAAGTCACGTAGAAGGGAAACAATAAAATAAAAATAATAAAACATAATAAAATACAATTCTCACGACGTTTCGGCCACAACGCAAGCAGCCGTCCTCAGGTGAAGAACAGGTCTGTCGGGAAGACAGCGTCTGAATGAAACCCCCCAGGCTTGGAGCGTCTATTTAAGCTGCTGGGTTGGAGGGGGAAGAGCGCCTTGACAATAATTTGCATATCAAGAGGAATTTAGCATATTTATAGTACCGTTGTTGCGGTGTGTAAGCATCCGCAGTGGGGAGACAAAGGTGTCCAGGCGTTGGTCTGACCACACCGCCCCGTCACGAGCCTTGCCGGGCTTCATCGGTGCCACTCACCGCCAACAGCACTTGCCCCAGCAGCCTGCTATGTCTACATGTTGTATATTTGTGTGTGTGTGTCCGTGTGTGTAACCCATGTTGCTGTCTGTGTGTAACCCATGTCGCCGTGTGTGTGTAACCCATGTCGCTGTGTGTGTGTAACCCATGTGGTCGTGTGTGTGTAACCCATGTCGTGTGTGTAACCCATGTCGTTGTGTGTTTGCGCGCAGGGCTCTTCCAACTCGTACGCCATCAAGAAGAAGGACGAGCTGGAGCGGGTGGCCAAGTCTAACCGCTGAGCCCCTCACCACCATCACCACGGAAACCCAATAAACATGGTTCCTGCAGATACTGCCTCCCCCGTGTGTCTTTCATTCACATCTCAAACATGGTTCCTGCAGATACTGCCTCCCCGTGTGTCTTTCATTCACATCTCAAACATGGTTCCTGCAGATACTGCCTCCCCGTGTGTCTTTCATTCACATCTCAAACATGGTTCCTGCAGATACTGCCTCCCCCGTGTGTCTTTCATTCACATCTCAAACATGGTTCCTGCAGATACTGCCTCCCCGTGTGTCTTTCATTCACATCTCAAACATGGTTCCTGCAGATACTGCCTCCCCCGTGTGTCTTTCATTCACATCTCAAACATGGTTCCTGCAGATACTGCCTCCCCGTGTGTCTTTCATTCACATCTCAAACATGGTTCCTGCAGATACTGCCTCCCCCGTGTGTCTTTCATTCACATCTCAAACATGGTTCCTGCAGATACTGCCTCCCCGTGTGTCTTTCATTCACATCTCACGAGGTCCCCCCCCCCCTACTCGGGGTCTAAACTTGAGTTGATCCCCTTTTTTTGGTTCTTTCGGTAAAGTCATCACGTAGAAGGGAAGTAATAAAATAAAAATAAAATAATTCTCACGACGTTTCGGCCACAACGCAAGCAGCCGTCCTCAGGTGAAGACCAGGTCTGTCGATAAGACAGTCTAAATGACACGTCCTAGGCTTGGAGCGTCTATTTAAGCTGGGAGAGAGGAGGAAGACCGCCTTGACAAAATAATTTGCATATCAAGAGGAATTTAGCATATTTATGGAAAATGCAGGAATGCGACTAGTGCTAAATAGACGCTCCAAGCCTAGGACGTGTCTTATCGACAGACCTGTTCTTCACCTGAGGACGGCTGCTTGCGTTGTGGCCGAAACGTGATAATTATTTTATTATGTTTTATTATTATTTTATTACTTCCCTTCTACGTGATGACTTTACCGAAAGAACCAAGAAGATGAATCCCTGCAGTCACGAAAGCTTTAAATCGAAATTTGATCCCCTTTGTAGAATGAGGCAGCTGAGGCCGTGCCAAGGCAGTCTGGCACGGCGTGGGAGGTTGTTTTTCCCTGTGGAAGCCCAAACGGTGCTGCTCAAGGTGTGTGTGGGGTAGAGGCGTGTGTGTAGGTGTTGTGGTAATATTGGTAGGAACCTCCTGGTTACACCGGCCCACAGGGGATTATTGTGTCCGTCTGTCATGCAGGGAGGGGCTGGGTGGGGAGGGGCTGGCTGGGGAGGGGCTGGCTGGGGGGTGGGTGGGGAGGGGCTGGTCACCCCATGGTGCCCTTATAAAACTCAACGTTTCACCTACTCACGCCGGCTTGTGCCCGCCCACAGTCGGGCATGTTTGCGGAATACACCACGCCGCTGTTGACCCTGCAGGCCATTGACCGAGCAACCGGACGTTCCTACCAGCTCCCTCCGCAGGACAATGTGTTTCTGCATCCCCAACGTGCCGAATGCCATTTGCACGTTGTTGCGAGTTTGAGGTCGCAAACACTTTGCTCTCCATTTGCCTGGGTGAAAAGCGTGCTAAGTTTTACCTAATTCTGCACAGCTCAACAAAACGTTATAAACATGACATTAATTACCTTGGTCTCAAGCCAGACTAAGTACTTCTTGTGAAAATAATAAATGAAAAATAACTAAATTAAATAACGACGTTTCGGAAGCAAGACATCTCCATCTTCAGGTGGGACCGTCAGCTAAATTTACTGTATCAAGACGGACACTTGTTGCCTCCGAAACGTCCGTGATTGAATTTTTTTTTTTACCTACGTGACTTTACCGAACAAACCCAAGAGTATGAATCCTTGCAGTCACGAAAGCTTCAAATCTAGAACTTCTTGTGAAGGCCATCATGGTCTGGTTCTGGCTATCCAAACAGACTGTACAAGGTACAAGAAAACCCTCCCCTCGTACCAGAGGTCGCAAACGGGTTTTGATTCCTTACCTGTACCGGGCCGCACCAGGGTCGCAAACGGGTACCCATACCTGGCAGGGTACGGGTACCTGATTGCGACCTCTGGGATGAAGCCATGTTGCAGACGTGGGTGGGTTGATTCTAGGAACTTGAATTGTGAAAAGAGACAAGACGTTGGGAAATGAGTGACAGTTACCAGTGACGGCCTACCCGTACCCGGCCGCACCAGGGTCGCAAACTGCTACCCGTACCCAACCGGGTACGGGTAGCCGGGTATCGGGTACCCGGTTGCGACCTCTGCCTCGTACTGGCCCGGTTCAAACATGGCAGTGGAAAAAGGAATGACAGAAGACTGGGTTGCACGCGGAGAGACGCATGGAGCGGAGTAGATATTACACTTTATTTGATCGTTAAATGAAGGGTGGAGAAGTGATCATGGGTACACGGGAGGTGGCAGGGAGTGGTGGCTGTGAGGGCGGGGGGGGGGGGCAGTCACACGGGCCCAGGGAGCGGAGGATCCGAGGGGTCCAGGATTGTGCGTCTCCGTGCAGACTCGCGCGACACGTTGTGGTTCAGTCTGGCTAGACGTTCCTGCAACGTTAACAAGGTCACCAACATCATCGTCTGGACCCCATTGGAACCTCATTTGCCAGTAAAAAATATGATTGTTTTTTTACCCTTCTATCTGGCAACAAAACTGACACCTTTTTTTACAAGGAGTCATGTTTGCATAGACCACAATACCTGCAGTCATAATGCAAACAAAAAACACAACTCTGATAATGTTTGTGCACTGTCCTTGAAGTTGATTGGTCCACACCCGAGACAGCTTTCCTTAGAGCCTAGTCTCACATGGTGTTGGACCAGATGATGCCAAAAAGCGCACAACTCAAAGACAATGCACCATCAGAGTATGAGAGCTCGGGGTAAGCATTTACACCATTGGAACCTCATTTGCCAGTAGCAAATATGATAATTGTTTTTTTACCCTTCTATCTGGCAACAAAACTGACACCTTTTTTATGAGGAGTCATGTTTGCATAGACCACAATACCTGCAGTCATAATGCAAAGCAAAAAACACAACTCTGATAATGTATGCACTGTCCTGTTGTGTTTTTTGTTTGCATTATGACTGCAGGTATTGTGGTCAATGCAAACATGACTCCTCGTAAAAAAAAAGGTGTCAGTTTTGTTGCCAGATGAAAGGGTAAAAAACCAATTATCATCATCGGAAGTTGTATCTATGCACTTCCAACATCACCGTTGGAAGTTGTATCTATGCGACTTTACCGAAAGACCTAAGAATATGAATTCATGCAGTCGCGAAAGCTTTAAGTCAAGATTTAAGTTGTATGTACACATGATCTGGGATCTTGGGGTGGTTGTACGTGTACATTGCATGGACTTATTTCACGTCGTAAAGTAGAACAGACTTGCTAATACTTGTGCGAGTTGGAGGTGTGGATTCTGTAAGAACTTGTGGTTGTGATGTATTGTACCTGCATACTCTGTAGGATCTTGTATGGTGGAGATTGTGCCTGCATATTTTGTAGGATCTTGTACGATGATGATGGTGGTGGTGGTTGTGGAGGTGGTGTTTGTACGTGCGCCTTCTAATATCTTGTCGTGGTTGTACCTGCACGTTCTGTAGGATGTGGTGGTGGTGGTGGTTGTTGTTGTACCTCCATGTTCTGTAGGATGTTGTGGTGGTTGTTGTACCTTCATGTTCTGTAGGATGTGGTGGTGGTGGTGGTTGTTGTGCCTCCATGTTCTGTAGGATGTTGTGGTGGTGGTTGTTGTGGTTGTTGTACCTGCACGTTCTGCAGGATGTTGTGGTGGTGGTGGTGGTTGTTGTACCTTCATGTTCTGCAGGATGTTGTGGTGGTGGTGGTGGTGGTTGTTGTACCTGCACGTTCTGCAGGATGTTGTGGTGGTTGTTGTGGTTGTTGTACCTGCACGTTCTGCAGGATGTTGTGGTGGTGGTGGTTGTGGTTGTTGTACCTGCACGTTCTGCAGGATGTTGTGGTGGTGGTGGTTGTTGTACCTGCACGTTCTGCAGGATGTTGTTGACCAGCACGACGCGTCTCCGCGCGTTGAGCAGTTTCTTGACGTAAACGTCGAGGTCTGGAGCCCCGGCCTGCTCCTCGCTCACTCTGCGCAGCTCTGCACACAGACACAGGTGAGGGCGAGCACAAGCCGGCGTGAGTAGGTTAAACGTTGAGTTTTATAAGGGCACCACGGGGTGACCAGCCCCTCCACACCCAGCCCCTCCCCTCACACCCCCCACCCAGCCCCACCCTCCCCAACCAGCCCCTCTCCACCCTCCCCACCTAGCCCCTCCCCACCCAGCCCCACCCTCCCCACCCAGCCCCTCCCCACCCTCCCCTCCCCACCCAGCCCCTCCCCACCCTCCCCACCCAGCCTCTCCCTCCCCACCCAGCCCCTCCCTGCACGACGGACGGACACAATAATCCCCTGTGGGCTGGTGAAACCAGTGGGTTCCTACCAGTAAAATTCTGCATGTTGATTCCCCAAATAAGATTTGAAGCTTTCGTGACTGCAAGAATCCATACTCTTTGGCGCTTTCGGTAAAGTCACGTGGGTAGAAAATTAAGTGACTTTACCGAGAGAACCAAAGAGTATGGATCCCTGAATAAGGTTCCTGATTTATTGCCAGAAAGGGTTAAAACTATTCGGTAAAGTCACGAAGATAGATCAAATAATTAAAACAATAAAATCACGACGTTTCGATCGCAACACAAGCAATCGTCATCAGGTGAGAAATATCGCGAGAGAGCTGCTGAGAATATATTTTGTGATTATTTGATCTTCGTGGCTTTACCGAAAGACCCAAGCATATGAATTCCTGCATTCACGAAAGCTTTAAGTCGAGGTAAAACCTATTCATACTCTTAGGTTTTTTCGGTAAGGTCACGTAGGTAAAAAATAAAATTAATAAAAATAAAATAATTTTATTAAATTAATCGCATATCTGCATTTCCCATAAATATGCTAAATTCCTCTTGATATGCAAATTATTTTGTCAAGGCGCTGTTCCTCCCCTCCAACCCAGCAGCTTAAATATACGCTGCCAAGCCTGGTGGTGCCCATTCAGACGCTGTCTTTCCGACAGACCTGTTCTTCACCTGAGGACGGCTGCTTGCGTTGTGGCCGAAACATCGTTAGAATTATTTAATGTTTTATTGTTATTATTTTATTATTTCCCTTCTACGTGGCTTTACCGAAAGAACCAAGAAGAGATTCTAATTTAAAATTAATAAAAGTAATAATAGAAATAAAATATTATTTAATTTCTATATTACTTTTATTAATTTTAATTATATTTTTTACCTACGTGACTTTACCGAAAACCCCTAAGAGAGTATGAATCCTTGCAGTCACGAAAGCTTCAAATCTAGAAGTAAAACCTATTGTTATAAATAAAAATGTGTCTACTCGTTTGTGTTTCTCCCTTGTGATGGCACTTTGTAGGATGAACGTTGAGATTGATAGGGGGCACGAGGTGAGACCTATAAGATCTGAATCGGTCTGCCGTGAGGCCGGGCACCTACAAGGGGTTCACAGATCTTCTTGGTTATTTCAGTAAAGTCACGTAGAAGGGAAGTAATAAAATAATAAAAATAAAACATAATAAAATACAATTCTCACGACGTTTCGGCCACAACGCAAGCAGCCGTCCTCAGGTGAAGACCAGGTCTGTCGGGGAGACAGCGTCTGAATGAAACACCAACACGCTTGCAGCGTAGATTTAAGCTGCTGGGTTGGAAGGGGGGAAGGGCGCCTTGACAAAATAATTTGCATATCAAGAGGAATTTAGCATATTTATGGAAAATGCAGGTATGTGATTAGTACTACTTGTGAAATGCGTAGGAGGTTATGGCGGGGGGTTTTTCAAAGTCATTATTGACAGATTTTAGATATTTTTCGATTTAAAGCTTTCGTGACTGCAGGGATTCATCTTCTTGGTTCTTTCGGTCAAGTCACGTAGAAGGGAAGTAATAACGAAACGTCGTGAGAATTATTTTATTATGTTTTATTTTTATTATTTTATTACTTCCCTTCTACGTGACTTTACCGAAAGAACCAAGAAGATTTGAGATATACGCAGACGCAACTCAAGCACCCACCTGCAGCCAGACACTCGATCTGTTCTCGGAGATCCATCTGCGATTCCCTGCACGCCACACACACAGACACACACACACACAGACACACACACAGACACACACACAGACACACACACACAGACACACACACAGACACACACACAGACAGACACACAGACACACACACAGACACACACAGACACACACACAGACACACACACAGACACACACACAGACACACACACAGACACACACAGACACACACACACAGACAGACACACGTGGTGAGTAGGCAGACGGACGGGATATCACCACAGCACTCGCTCACGCTCTACGACAACGCGGAGAGATGACGCCCCACGTGCAGATGGAAGAGGCTGACGGGGCAAGCGCCGCCAACGGGAAGTAGCGGCAGCACCGCTGACAAAGGTCGGCACGGCACACGGTGGGGGGGTGGGTGGCACGGGGCGGTTAGTGGGTGGCACGATGGGTGGGTGGCACGGGGGGGTGGGTGGCACGGGGGGGGTGGGTGGCACGGTGGGGGTGGGGGTGGCACGGTGGGGGGGGGGGGTGGCACGGTGGGGGGGGGGGGTGGCACGGTGGGGGGGGGGGGGTGGCACGGTGGGGGGGGGGGGTGGCACGGTGGGGGGTGGCACGGTGGGGGGGGGGGGTGGCACGGTGGGGGGGTGGGTGGCACGGTGGGGGGGGGGGGGTGGCACGGTGGGGGGGTGGCACGTCTCTCACCCTGCCCCCCCTCCTGCCCCCACGTGTCTCACCTGACTGCCCTCACGCTCTCGTCCACGTCTCGCACGGCGGGTCTCAGAAGCCCCAAGAGGCCCGCGGAGATCGCCTCCCTCCCGCGGTCTCCCTGCGACTCCTGCGTACCCTGCGTCCCCCGTGTCTCCTGTCCCCCCTGTCCCCCCCGTGTCTCCTGTCCCCCCTGTCCCCCCCGTGTCTCCTGTCCCCCCTGTCCCCCACCTTCCCCGTGTCCCCCCTGTCCCCCCCGTGCCCCCTGTCCCCCACCTTCCCCGTGTCCCCCCTGTCCCCCCTGTCCCCCCCGTCCCCCACCTTCCCCGTGTCCCCCCTGTCCCCCCCGTGTCTCCTGTCCCCCCGATGTCTCCTGTCCCCCCTGTCCTCCACCTTCCCCCTGTCTCCCCCGTGTCTCAAGTCCCCCCTGCGTCTCCTCCACCCGAGTCGTCATCACGGGAGCCGTGGCACGCGGAGACGACACAACAACAACAACAACAAACACCGAAGCTACAAGGACGCGAGGGAGACACACGTGTGGAGACAACACCGAGACACGGAGACACACGCGGAGAGACACACACTGAGACACGCGGAGAGAGACACACGGAGACACACACGGAGACAGACACGGCGCAGAGAGACACACGGAGACACACACGGAGACAGACACGGCGCAGAGAGACACACGGAGACACACACGGAGACAGACACGGCAGAGAGACACGGAGCTGCACGTGAAACCCAAGAAACCCGGACGTAGACGCGGCGCACGTGACCCGCGCGCATTATTTATTTATTTGCGCGCGCGCGAGGGTCACGTGATCCCGGTCCGCGCTCGTCGTCACCACCACCAGCACCACGTGGTCTGTCTTCAAGTTCAAGTTCATTTATTAGGCGTAGCCCTGTGAGCCATTCAGCTCTTGAATCGGGTGCAACCGCAACAAACAAAAAACAAAAACATGAACAAAAAAACATCTTAAAGTGACTATGTGACTAAGTGCAAACAGAAAATCCAAGAAAAGACAGCAAAAATATTGCTGAAAAAACACCGTTACACCAACGCTGTGTGCAAAAATCCCAGTGGGATGCAAGTCAAACAACAACAACAACCACAAGACAACTTAGATTAAGGCCATCAGTCTAACTCTGTACTACAACAACACAAACATGGCTAAACCAATACACTTTTCGAAATCACCAAAATAAAGCCATGAAGGCAATAAAAAAGCAATCATAGGAACTGACGGAATTTTCACAATAAATGGCATAAACAACATGTACTACCAAAACCCTGCAGCCATAGCTGGCTGCATGAGTCACTCCACAACAGCAGGAGCATCAATCGGAGTATTGTAATTTTTCAATGCACCTTTAAGATCAGCACACTAAATCAAAACACAGGTCATACTTTGTAGCGATCATCCGGAGCGAAACATTTTATTTTAGGTCACTGAATAGCACTGGCAGCTAGGGGTGTACAACTCCTCTAAAGCAGCTTTGAGTGAAGATCTCATAGGTAGTGACTCAAGTTTCAATTTATTTGCAACAGCATTCCAGACCCTGGGGGCATCAATAGCAAAGGCCCTTCCTCCAGTATATGTACGGCAATAGGGAATATTAAGCTGGTAAATGAGTGTAGACCTTAGGTCAAATTTGTTCTTTGAAACAGAGACGAGATCCAGCAGGTAATCTGCAGATTTTTTTGCAAGTACATCATGAATAAATAAGATCTGGTGCACAAGCCGTCGAACATTCAGAGATGTTAAGTTTGACCCAATGTAGAGATCACAGTGGTGAGTCCTATATGGGCAGTTCAATGCAAATCTTAAGGCCGAGTGATACATTGAGTCAAGCTTCTTCAGTACAATACTTGGGGCTGATTTATACACAATGTCACAGTAATCAAGTAGAGGCAGTACGGTAGCTTTAATCAATTCCAAACGGAACATAGGAGGGAAGCAGTGCTTGTGTCGATATAGAAAACCAATTTTAATTTTTGTCTTTTTCCCAATATAATCAATGTGATCTTTAAAATTCAGTTTTGAATCCAGGATGACCCCAAGATACTTATAGATCTTGACTTGCTCTATTTGATCATTATTTAAGGTATGCAATTGGGGAAAAATAACTTCCCGCTTTAGTCCTGGTGAGAAGCATAGCACCTTGGTTTTGGCAGGATTTAGGACTAGTTTAAGAGCAACTAGCTGATGTTGTAGTTTGTTGAAATCACTCTGGAGCTTAGCAATCACGTCATCCGGAGAGCGGCCAGCAGTAATTAGTACCGTGTCATCTGCAAAAAGATTTACCCTGGAATAATCCAGTTCAGTGCCCAAGTCATTTACATGAAGAGAAAACAAGAGGGGGCCGAGAATGGAACCCTGTGGAACCCCTTTTGTTATCTTAACACTGTTTGACCTCCAACCATCTGTGAATACAGTTTGGGTGCGAGAAAAGAGGTAATTTTTTAACCATTTTACTGTGTTTTCGGAAAAACCGAGGCAACTTATTTTACTAAGCAGGATGTTGTGGTCTACTGTATCAAAAGCTTTGGACAAGTCAAGAAAAAGACAGGCGCAGTACTGCTTATTATCAAGGCTACTGTAAATGTGATTCAGAGAGTCTAATGCAGCAGATGTGGTGCTGTATTTTTTTCGGAACCCAGATTGTTTTAGATGTAATAGATTGTTGGCGGACAGGAAACTGCTAATTTGGTAGGTCAATAATTTTTCAAAAATTTTCATCAACGGGGACAAAATTGAGATAGGTCGGTAGTTATTTGGATCATCTTTAGGGCCCCCTTTGTGAAGTGGACGAACATAGGAATGTTTCCATTCTAGAGGAACTGATGCTTCTTTGATGGACAGGTTGAAAATATGGGCTATAGGTTTGTATATTAGGTGACCAACAGTTAGTAGAGCAAAGACGGGAATACTATCTGCTCCGGTAGAGGAGGACCCTTTGAGGTAGGACAGTTGTTTCAGAACATTACTTTCGTGGATTGGCTGAAAACTAAATTCGCTTAATGTTTGGACAGGAGTGTAGGAATTTGCATGAGCAGGGGTGACTCCCAATACATTATCAAATAGGGTACCAGTTTCAGAAAAATGAAGGTTAAAATTGTCAACTATTTTTGGGGATCTGAAAAATATTCCCTATTTCGGTTAAGCTGAACGGGTGGAGACACCACCACCAGCAGCACCACGTGGTCTATCCACTGCTGGTGGAGACACCACCAGCAGCACCACGTGGTCTGCCTACTGCTGGTGGAGACACCACCAGCAGCACCACGTGGTCTGTCTACTGCTGGTGGAGACACCACCAGCAGCACCACGTGGTCTGTCTACTGCTGGTGGAGACACCACCAGCAGCACCACGTGGTCTATCCACTGCTGGTGGAGACACCACCAGCAGCACCACGTGGTCTGTCTACTGCTGGTGGAGACACCACCAGCAGCACCACGTGGTCTATCCACTGTTGGTGGAGACACCACCACCAGCAGCACGTGATCTGTCTACTGTTGGTGGAGACACCACCACCAGCAGCACCACGTGGTCTGTCTACTGTTGGTGGAGACACCACCACCAGCACCACGTGGTCTATCCACTGCTGGTGGAGACACCACCACCAGCAGCACCACGTGGTCTGTCTACTGCTGGTGGAGACACCACCAGCACCACGTGGTCTATCCACTGCTGGTGGAGACACCACCACCAGCACCACGTGGTCTGTCTACTGCTGGTGGAGACACCACCAGCACCACGTGGTCTGTCTACTGCTGGTGGTAGACCTCCCCACCACCACCACCATCATCTTCACAATAATTATGCTAATTTCGATTTAAAGTTTTTGTGACTGCAAGAGTACATACTCTTAGGATTTTTCGGTAAAGTCACGTCGGTAAAAAAATAATAAAAATAAAATAATAATAAATGAAGAAACTCAATTAAATCACGACGTTGTGTTGCTTCCGAAACGTCGTGATTTAATTTAGTTATTTTCATGTATTATTTTATTTCATTACAGTATTTGACTTTACCTAAAAAACTTAAGAGTATTCATGTTCTTGGTTCGTCGTGAAATTTTTATTGTTTTATTTTATTCTTTTATAATTTCCCTTCTACCAAAAGAACAAAGGAATAACAATGATGCAAGTGATTATTTTAAACCAAAACCATTTTATTTGACGAGATGTAAGGCCCCGCCTCGCTGTGTATCTCTTTTCCAGAAGCGACACCGGATATTTTAATTGTCGGCAGCTCAACGAAGGGGGCCCCATCATCGTCATCGCCACGTGGGACATTATAGCAGCGGCCAAATCGTCTAAACGCGTGGTGGTGATGTTGATTTGAAGGTGATGTTGATTCTAAATGTGGAGGGACTGACTGAGGTGACCGGTAGATGCACCACCAGCTGTACCCCCCTTCTGTGCCAGGCTAGGTGCAGGAGTTCTCGGGACAGACCCAGCAGGTGCCATGGGTCGTCTGACTGAGATGATCGGTAGATGCACCACCAACTGTACCCCTACTGTGCCAGGCTAGGTGCAGGAGTTCTCGGGACAGACCCAGCAGGTGCCATGGGTCGTCTGACTGAGATGACCGGTAGATGCACCACCAGCTGTACTCTCTACTGTGCCAGGCTAGGTGCAGGAGTTCTCGGGACAGACCCAGCAGGTGCCATAGGTTGGCTGACTGAGATGACCGGTAGATGCACCACCAGCTGTACCCCCCCTGCTGTGCCAGGCTAGGTGCAGGAGTTCTCGGGACAGACCCAGCAGGTGCCATAGGTTGGCTGACTGAGATGACCGGTAGATGCACCACCAGCTGTACCCCCCCTGCTGTGCCAGGCTAGGTGCAGGAGTTCTCGGGACAGACCCAGCAGGTGCCATGGGTTGGCTGACTGAGATGACCGGTAGATGCACCACCAGCTGTACCCCCTGCTGTGCCAGGCTAGGTGCAGGAGTTCTCGGGACAGACCCAGCAGGTGCCATGGGTTGTCTGACTGAGATGACCGGTAGATGCACCACCAGCTGTACCCCCTACTGTGCCAGGCTAGGTGCAGGAGGTCTCGGGTGTCTGTTTGGGTGTTTTAACATTTTTAACAGGGTGGGGGGAGGGTGGGGGGAGGGGTGGGGGGAGGGTGGGGGGAGGGTGGGAGGAGGGGAGGGTGGGGGTTGTGGGGAGGGTGGGGGGAAGATGGGGGGGAGGGGTGGGGGAGGGTTGGGGAGTGTGGGGGGCGGGTGGGGGGAGGGTTGGGGAGTGTGGGGGAAGGGTGGGGGGAGGGGTGGGGCGAGGGTGGGGGGGGAGTGTGGCGGGGAAGGGTGGGGGGAGGGATGGGGGAGTGTGTGGGGGGAGTGTGGTGGGGGGGAGGGGTGGGGGGGAGGTGTGGGGGGAGTTGGGAGTGTGGCGGGGAGGGGTGGGGGGAGGGGTGGGGGAGGGTGGGGGGAGGGGGGGGTGGGGGTTGTGGGGAGGGTGGGGGGAAGATGGGGGGAAGATGGGGGGAGAGGTGGGGGAGCGTGGGGGGAAGATGGGGAGAGGGGTTGGGGGGAGGGTTGGGGGGAGGGGTGGGGGGAGGGGTGGGGGGAGTGTGGGGGGAGGGTGGGGGGAGGGTGGGGGGAGTGTGGGGTGAGGGTTGGGGGAGGGGTGGGGTGGAGGGGTGGGGGGAGGGTGGGGGGGGAGGGTGGGGGGAGGGTGGGGGGAGTGTGGGGGGAGGTGGGGGGAGGGTGGGGGGAAGGTGGGGGGGAGGGTGGGGGGGAGGGTGGGGGGGGGTGGGGAGGGTGGGGGGAGGGGTGGGGGGGATGGTGGTGGGGGGGGGTAAGTGGGAGGGGGGGGGGATTCCTTGGCGGGAAATCGCTGTCAAAGTTCCTCCAATCAAATCTCCGGCTCAGCGTCACGTGGTTCCTGCCTAGCGACAGTGCTGGGCAAGGTTAAGGACAGTGTCGTGGGCGGGTTGTAGTTTTTATTAAATGGCATTTTAATTGATGTAAACTTTCAATTTTCTTTCTGCTAAATTAATGTTCGTAAGCTTGTGTTGCTCGCAGCAGGGCGAAGGGATTTATTAGAAATCGCGAAATTTTCGGTGAAATCGACAGCGGAGCGCGAAGGGCTTCTCCTACGGCTAGGCCGCGTTTCTGAGGTAAAATAATTTCGCTTTAAAATTAAACGAAAATATATCGCGTTTGGTCGTGAATCTCCGTAAACTTTAGATGCAAAGTATCTTTATTTTATTGAGAATGTATGTGCCCGGCTAAACGATTAACGCTTGTCATGTATTGCAGTGTACGTAACACGCATTTATCGCGTCTGAGAAAATTTAATTTTAAGTAAATTTTTTATTTAAAAAGAACAACTTTCTCCGATCAAGCTTAATCCAAATCACGCGTTATTTTAATCATACCGTGCAAGTGTGTCCCGGCGTGAACGCGGAATCTTATTTTTAATTTGTTCGTGTGTATTAATGACCATACTTCTCCGCGCTGGTCAATGCAGCCTCTAACAGTTGCTAAGAACGGTGGCCATCCCAACACTGTTCATGTTGGGTGGTGTGCATGGTGACGGTGATGGTTGTGTTGGTGGTGGTGGTTGTGTTGGTGGTGTTGATGGTTGTTTTGTTGATGGTGGTGTTGTTGGTGGTTGTGTTGATGGTGGTTGTGTTGATGGTTGTTGTGTTGGTGGTTGTTGTGTTGGTGGTGGTTGTTGTGTTGATGGTGGTTGTGTTGATGTTGTTGTGTTGATGGTGGTTGTGTTGATTGTTGTTGTGTTGATGGTGGTTGTGTTGATGTTGGTTGTTGTGTTGATGGTTGTGTTGGTGGTGGTTGTGTTGGTGGTGGTTATGTTGGTGGTTGTTGTGTTGATGGTTGTGTTGATGGTTGTGGTGGTGGTGCTTGTGTTGGTGGTGGTGGTTGTGTTGGTGGTTGTGTTGGTGGTTGTTGTTGTGTTGGTGGTTGTTGTGTTGATGATGGTTATTGTTGTGGTGGTGGTGTTAATGGCGCCGGGGCGGCTAAAACGCAGCGGGGGTTGTGACAGTAGGGGGCACAGGTGGTGCATCTGCCAGTCTTCATCTTAGTCGGTCAACCCATGGCACCTGCTGGGTCAATCCCGTGACCTCGTGCACCTAGCCTGGCACAGAGGGGTACAGCTGGTGGTGCATCTGTTAGTCATCTCAGTCAGCCAACCCATGGCACCTGCTGGGTCAATCCCGTGACCTCGTGCACCTAGCCTGGCACAGAGGGGTACAGCTGGTGTGCATCTGCCAGTTATCTCAGTCAGCCAACTTTGGCACCTGCTGGGTCTGTCCCGAGACTTGCACTTAGCCTGGCACAGTAGGGGGGTACAGCTGGTGGTGCATTTACCGGTCATCTCAGTCAGCCAACCCATGGCACCTGCTGGGTCTGTCCCGAGACCTGCACCTAGCCTGGCACAGTAGGGGGGTACAGCTGGTGGTGCATCTACCGGTCATCTCAGTCAGCCAACCCATGGCACCTGCTGGGTCTGTCCCGAGACCTGCACCTAGCCTGGCACAGTAGGGGGGTACAGCTGGTGTGCTTCTGCCAGTCATCTTAGTCGGTCAACCCATGGCACCTGCTGGGTCAATCCCGTGACCTCGTGCACCTAGCCTGGCACAGAGGGGTACAGCTGGTGGTGCATCTACCAGTCATCTCAGTCAGCCAATCCATGGCACCTGCTGGGTCTGTCCCGAGACCTCCTGCACCTAGCCTGGCACAGCAGGGGGGTACACCTGGTGTGCATCTGCCAGTCATCTCAGTCAGCCAACCCATGGCACCTGCTGGGTCTGTCCCGAGACTTGCACTTAGCCTGGCACAGTAGGGGGGTACAGCTGGTGGTGCATCTACCGGTCATCTCAGTCAGCCAACCCATGGCACCTGCTGGGTCTGTCCCGAGACCTGCACCTAGCCTGGCACAGTAGGGGGGTACAGCTGGTGTGCTTCTGCCAGTCATCTTAGTCGGTCAACCCATGGCACCTGCTGGGTCAATCCCGTGACCTCGTGCACCTAGCCTGGCACAGAGGGGTACAGCTGGTGGTGCATCTACCAGTCATCTCAGTCAGCCAATCCATGGCACCTGCTGGGTCTGTCCCGAGACCTCCTGCACCTAGCCTGGCACAGCAGGGGGGTACACCTGGTGTGCATCTGCCAGTCATCTCAGTCAGCCAACCCATGGCACCTGCTGGATCTGTCCCGAGACCTCGTGCACCTAGCCTGGCACAGAGGGGTACAGCTGGTGGTGCATCTACCGGTCATCTCAGTCAGCCAATCCATGGCACCTGCTGGGTCTGTCCCGAGACCTCCTGCACCTAGCCTGGCACAGCAGGGGGGTACAGCTGGTGTGCATCTGCCAGTCATCTCAGTCAGTCAACCCATGGCACCGGCTGGGTCAATCCCGTGACCTCGTGCACCTTGCCTGACACAGAGGGGTACAGCTTGTGGTGCATCTGCCAGTCATCTCAGTCAGCCAACCCATGGAACCTGCTGGGTCAATCCCGTGACCTCGTGCACCTAGCCTGGCACAGAGGGGTGCAACTGGTGGTGTATCTGCCAGTCATCTCAGTCAGCCAATCCATGGCACCTGCTGGGTCTGTCCCGAGACCTCCTGCACCTAGCCTGGCACAGTAGGGGGGTACCGCTGGTGGTGTATCTACCGGTCATCTCAGTTAGCCAACCCATGGCACCTGCTGGGTCTGTCCCGAGACCTGCACCTAGCCTGGCACAGTAGGGGGGTACAGCTGGTGGTGCATCTACCGGTCATCTCAGTCAGCCAAACCATGGCACCTGCTGGGTCTGTCCCGAGACCTGCACCTAGCCTGGCACAGTAGGGGGGTACAGCTGGTGTGCTTCTGCCAGTCATCTTAGTCGGTCAACTCATGGCACCTGCTGGATCTGTCCCGAGACCTCGTGCACCTAGCCTGGCACAGAGGGGTACAGCTGGTGGTGCATCTACCGGTCATCTCAGTCAGCCAATCCATGTCACCTGCTGGGTCTGTCCCGAGACCTCCTGCACCTAGCCTGGCACAGCAGGGGGGTACAGCTGGTGTGCATCTGCCAGTCATCTCAGTCAGCCAACCCATGGCACCGGCTGGGTCAATCCCGTGACCTCGTGCACCTAGCCTGGCACAGAGGGGTGCAACTGGTGGTGTATCTGCCAGTCATCTCAGTCAGCCAACCCATGGCACCTGCTGGGTCTGTCCCGAGCCTTAGACACTTCACGTGGCCTCAATGTGCACCTGGCCTGGCACTGGCACCGTGGTGACGTCCTTGTCACTTTGTGGCGAATGCCGGGTATTGGTATTGGTTGGTGGCATTGATCGTGATGGTGCTGTTGGTATTGGTGCTGTTGATAGATATCCCGATGCTGTTATCGGTGGTTGTGATAATGATGGAGGTGTGGATTGCTGCTGGTGCTTCCGTTGGTGGTGGTGCTGTTGCTGACAGTGCTAGTGGTGATTGTGGTGGTGGTTGTGGTGGTGGTGGTGCTGTTGCTGACAGTGCTAGTGGTGATTGTGGTGGTTGTGGTAGTGGTTGTGGTGGTGGTGGTGATGCTGATCAGAATATTTATCCTGGAGGCATCCGATGACCTATAATGCTCGTTTTCACAGACGTCCAGTCGTGGCACGGGGTCAGAACGTTGCAACAACAAACACAATACACACAAACACGATAGTGCAAAGTATAGGATCAGTAAACAAATCACTTAAAAAAATGTGTATCTTCTCAGGTAAAGCCCACTGAGCTATTACCTTATTAAATCCTTTATATTAAGTTCGCTTGCTTGCTTGCGTGCTTGCTTGCTTGCTTACGACCGTGCAAACCTTTCGGTCGTTTTTTAACCCACTTCCCGTGATCCAATCGAGCTGACATTTTGCACACAGACTCGTTGTGCGAGACAATTAATGTTCGTGAAATTTTTTCCCCAAAATTTTACACTGTTTAGGGAAAACAAATTAAATATTTAATTACCAATTGCTTAATACTGGCAGACAATCATCTGACCCATAGGTGGCAGCCATCTCAAGCCAGAGGACGAGAGGTCTCTAGCCGCCACGCATATAAAGGATTTAGAGTGAAAAACTTTGTTTTTACGGGTTATACTTATTTTTCAGATGTGACCTGGCCACATATGATGGTGCTGGTGTTGATATTGGCGGTGCTGTGGATGAGTGGTTGGTGGTGCTCCATCATATCGTTTGTTTTGGGTTCGATCGCATAAATATAACTGTGTCGTTAAGCCCGCCACCACCCAACACAGCGAATTAGTAAGGGTTGTCACGTAAACAAAACATGCCCATTCGTTACTACGGTAGTACAGCAGACCGGTGTGTTGGAGAGCAAATCTACAACATTTACAATCTTGAGTACGATGTTTCACCAGTAATTACAACTAACATTTTTTTCTCCTAAATCATACTTCTGCCAGTATTGATGCTGGTGCTGTTCACTTTGTTGCTGGTGTTGATGCTAGCAGTGTTGATTCAGATGACGGTGGGGCTTGTGTTTATGCTGCCACTGGTGTAAATGCTGGTTGTGTTCGCTTTGGTGTTGATGCTAGTGTTGTTGATTCTAGCTGCGGTGGTTGTTGTGTTTATACTGCCACTGGTGTTAATGCTGGTTGTGTTCGCTTTGGTTTTGATGCCAGTGTTGTTGATTCTAGCTGCGGTGGTGGTTGTGTTTATGCTGCCACTCGTGTTAATGCTGGTGGTGTTCGCTTTGGTGTTGATGCCAGTGTTGTTGATTCAGATGACGGTAGTGGTTGTGTTTATGCTACCACTCGTGTTAATGCTGGTTGTGTTCGCTTTGGTGTTGATGCCAGTGTTGTTGATTCAGGTGACGGTGGTGCTTGTGTCTATGCTGCCACTGGTGTAAATGCTGGTGGTGTTCGCTTTGGTGTTGATGCCAGTGTTGTTGATTCAGATGACGGTGGTGGTTGTGTTTATGCTGCCACTCGTGTTAATGCCGGTGGTGTTCGCTTTGGTGTTGATGCCAGTGTTGTTGATTCTAGCTGCGGTGATGGTTGTGTTTATGCTGCCACTGGTGTTAATGCCGGTGGTGTTCACTTTGGTGTTGATGGCAGTGTTGTTGATTCAGATGACGGTGGTGGTTGTGTTTATGCTGCTACTCGTGTTAATGCCGGTGGTGTTCGCTCTGGTGTTGATGCCAGTGTTGTTGATTCAGATGACGGTGGTGGTTGTGTTTATGCTGTCACTGGTGTTAATGCCGGTGGTGTTCGCTTTGGTGTTGATGCCAGTGTTGTTGATTCAGATGACAGTGGTGGTTGTGTTTATGCTGCCACTGGTGTTAATGCTGGTTGTGTTCGCTTTGGTGTTGATGCCAGTGTTGTTGATTCGGATGACGGTGATGGTTGTGTTTATGCTGCTACTGGTGTTAATGCTGGTTGTGTTCGCTTTGGTGTTGATGCTAGCAGTGTTGATTCGGATGACGGTGGGGCTTGTGTTTATTGTGCCACTGGTGTTAATGCTGGTTGTGTTCGCTTTGGTGTTGATGCTAGCAGTGTTGTTGATTCAGATGACGGCGGTGCTTGTGTTTATGCTGCTACTGGTGTTAATGCCGGTGGTGTTCGCTCTGGTGTTGATGCTGGCAGTGTTGTTGATTCTAGCTGCGGTGGTGGTTGTGTTGACGCCGCCGCTGCGCGTGGCGCTGGTGCCGATGTTCCCGGTGATGAAGCCGGTGTTGGGCGCTCAGACCATGCACAGGCTGAAGGGGCGCGGAGGCCGTGGGGTGCCCATGGAGGTTCCCATTTGGGATGAGCGCCAGGCCTACGAGGAACTTCTCTACTGGGAGGACCTTGTCCGTCGCGGGAAGCGTCTGCGGCCCGACGACTTTAAACGGTAATGCCCTACCCCGGCCTTTTGCTCTTGCCCCGGTGTCTTGTCGTTACTTCATGGCCCAGTGTGCATCGTACGTAGCCATCCGTGATAATCGGAAGGACAACAAACTAAACACAAAAAGCAGTTCTATTAAGTGAGTTTTCTATCGAGATTTTAAAGTGCCCTGCACACAACCACCCACCGTCCACTTGCCGCCCTTTATTTCGCACTGTTTTTCACTGCTTTTTCACCGTACTCTTTGGTTCTTTCGGTAAAGTCACGTAGATAGAAAATTAATGGGTCACGACGTTTCGATCGCAACACAAGCGACCGTCTTCAGGCGCTCTAGAACAGACGGTCGCTTGTGGTGCCATCGAAACGTCGTGATCTATTAATTTTCTACCCGCGTTGAGCTGTCATTTGTGATGGCCGGATCGCTTTGAAACAAAAAAAAAGATCGCTATAGCTCATTGTTTTTTACCTGTTAAATAAACAGTTTAGTTTAACATACGGACGAGCACACAGACGGACAGACTTACAGACCAGACCTTATTTACACGCATTTTCAACCTTAGCTTGATAGTGTTCAAACCACCTATTAAATTAACACTGCCCCACACTCGCCCCACCCCCCCATCGCTACCCAACAGCTACGAGGACCTGAGCTTCTGGTACGAGCGCTATTGCTTCGAGGAGGACATGCGCTACCAGGAGGACATGCGCGCCTACGAGGCGGAGATGCGCTACTGGGAGGAGTACCAGCGCTACGAGGAGGAGCTGCGCCACTACGAGTACCTGTCGGCGCAGGAGCGCTCCGACCAGGCCGTGCGCAAGCCCAAGCTGCCCTCTACACCCGGCCCGGTACTGACGCTCACTCACTCGCTCGCTCGCTCACCTGATAGCCTATTGGGTTATTCACTCGCTGGTTCGCTGGCTAATCTGCTGCATCACTCACTCGCTGACTAGTTCCCTGGCTAACTTACTTGCTGGCTTGCTCACTGGCTCGCTCAATGACTCGCTCGCTGGGTCATTCACTCACTCGCTGACTAGTTCCCTGGCTAATTCACTTGCTGACTTGCCGGATTGCTCACTGACTCGCTTACTGGATAACCCACCGAGTCACTCGCTTGGCTCGCTCAATGGCTCGCTCGCTGGGTCATTCACTCACTCGCTGGCTAATCCGCCGCGTCACTCACTTGCTGGCTAGTTTCATGGCTAACTTACTTGCTGGCACGCTCACTGGCTCGCTCACCGGATAGCCCACTGAGTCATTCGCTCGCTGGCTAGCCCGCTGCGTCACTCACTCGCTGACTAGTTCCCTGACTAATTCACTTGCTGACTTGCCGGATTGCTCACTGGCTCGCTCACCTGATAGCCCACTGGGTTATTCACTCGCTGGCTCGCTGGCTAACCTGCTGCATCACTCACTCGCTGACTAGTTCCCTGGCTAATTCACTTGCTGACTTGCCGGATTGCTCACTGGCTCGCTCACCGGATAGCCCACTGAGTCATTCGCTCGCTGGCTAGCCCGCTGCGTGACTCACTCGCTGACTAGTTCCCTGACTAATTCACTTGCTGACTTGCCGGATTGCCCACTGGCTCGATCACCGGATAGCCCACTGAGTCATTCACTCGCTGGCTAGCCCGCTGCGTCACTCACTCGCTGACTAGTTCCCTGGCTAATTCACTTGCTGACTTGCCGGATTGCTCACTGGCTCGCTCACCGGATAGCCCACCGGGTCAGTCACTCGCTGGCTCGCTCAATGGCTTGCTCGCTGGGTCATTCACTCACTCGCTGGCTAATCCGCCGCGTCACTCACACGTTCGCTAATTGGCCGGCTAACTCATTGCTGGCTCACTGGCTCGCTTGTTCGCTGGTTCACTCACGAGCTACCTGCATGGGTCGTTTGCTCGCACACTCGCTCGGTCACCCGCTGTCTTCATGCTGACTTGCTCAAGGGTTGCATGTATGCTTGCACACTGGCAAATAGATTAAATATGTACAGGAATGCAGGACGTTTCACTGTATTTGTAAAACAACGCAGACAGTGCCAACATCATTGTCACCACCTCCAGCCATGATCTATCCACTACTGCCTCCGTTCCTCACGGTCCTACGACACGACGCAATTCGGTGAAGAATATGGGTAGTTGTGCGAGTGAGTGAGTGCGTGAGTTAGCAAGCACGTAGACGGCTCGTGAATAAGTGAGCAGGTGAGCGAGCGAGCGAGTGAGCGAGTGGCTAGGTGACCGACCAAGCTAGTGAACATGTCAGCATCGAGTGGCTGACTGACTGAGTGAGTGACCGGGTTAGTGAGTGAACGAGTAAGCGAGTGACACAAAGCTCGCCCCACTTTCAAAATCCGTAATGCTCTCTCACCCCCCCCCCCACTCCTTTGTCTCCGTCTCTCCGCCACACTCGCCCCCATCCCCGTGCTTTGCCCCCTTGCTCTCCTGCCCCCCCCCCCAACGCCCCGCCGCCGTGGCGGTACCTGTCACGCTGAAGGCTCAGCGGCCCACGTGCCACTCAGAGTACGAGCGCCACGTGTTGGCCAAGCACACGGCCATCTACCCCACGCAGGCCGAGCTCGAGGCTGTGCAGACCCTGGTCACCGTCACCGAGAAGGCTCTGAAGCTCCTGTCCGATGATTTGGATACCGACGCCGGGGCTGCTGGTGCTGCTGGTGCTGCTGCTACTCCCGGAGCCGCCTCTGTCGGGTATTTTTAAATCCTTTATATTAAGTTTGCTTGTTTGCGCGCTTACGACCGTGCAAAGCTTTCGGTCGTTTTTTAACCCACTTCCCGTGATCCAATCGAGCTTACATTTTGCACACAGACTCGTTGTGTGTGACAATGCATTTTCGTGAAAAAAAAATTCCAAAATTTTACACTGTTTAGGGATAAATAAATATTTGTTTGCCAATTGTTTAATGCTGCCAGACAATCATCTGACCCATAGGTGGCAGCCATCTCAAGCCAGAGGACGAGAGGACTCTAGCCGCCCCGATGCCACGCATATAAAGGATTTATAGTGAAAAGCTTTGTTTTTACGGGTTATACTTGTTTTGTAGTTTAACACGTTGCACCCGATGAGTTGATGAGTCAATGATGACGTCACCCTGCTGCGGCTGCTGCTCTATTTAAGACCGGGAGCCAGAGCAGAGCCTCACCATTCTGGCGAATTGTCCGATGATGCTGGATGCAATTACCAGCGAAACGTCGTACTCAAAATTTTTTTTTGTTGTAAATGTTGTGGTTTCACGCTTCAACACACCGGTGGGCTAAAGCAGTGAACTATTTTGTCTTTTGTCAACGTGACACTTTTTTGCTGATTGGCCGTGTCGGGTGGTGGAGGGTTTACGACACATTTATAAATAACGCGATCTAAACCCAAAAACGTTGATTACGAATATTTTTTTGTACTTTCTGAAAATGAAACTTTTTTTGTTCAACGCAGGAAAGCCTCAAGGCTCTGCAGGACAGTCTTGCGGCTCTCTAGATTGAAAACTACTTTCTTTAGAACTGCTTATTGTAGTTTTGTCCTTCTCTCCCACACCTTGGCATGGCTGGACTATGTACGGTGAGAAAGGAGTACAACATACATACAGCATTGGGATGTCTGGCCGCATACCGGTTACATTCTATACTTTATTTATTTGTAGCTATTGGGAAACCGGAGAACCAGAGAAAACCCAAAGACACCAAGCGGGGAAACGTACAAACGGCACGCAGAAAGGCACATGGGTGCCGGGAATTTAACCCGGGCCCCTTCTTGCTGTCAGGCACGAGTGGTACCAGATTTGAAGCTTTCGTGACTGCAAGGATTCATATTCTTAGGTTTTTTTCGGTAAAGTCACGTAGGTAAAAAATTAAAATTACTAAAAGTAAAATAAAACATCATCCGCACATAGTTTACACAACAAAGGCTCATTCCTAACAGCGTGCTTCAGCCGCACCGAACCTCACAACAATTATATTCAGGGCCTACCTTGGCTCCTCCCACCCTCAACCAGTATATATACAAATGCTGTGTTCTTGGAATTTCTCTTACTTGATACAGCTATCGTGCTGTGACGGTTCCACCTGAAGACAGAAGCTTGTGTTGCCTCCGAAACGTCGTGATTTTTAATCTCAATTTTGGAGCTTTCGTGACTGCAGAAATTATCATTTGGTTCTTTCGGTTAAGTCACGTATAAAGATAAAATAATAAATTAAATACTAGCATACTACGACGTTTCGATTGCAACACAAGCAATCGTCATCAGGTATAAAAGAAATAGCAACAAAAATCTAACCAGAAAACTATAGACAGACACACAAGCAGACAGACATCACACACACAGAGAGAGAACACGTATCGGCAGAAAGAGAGAGGTCGTTTCTGTGACGAGGCCTTAAATATTGAGAGGGGGCCGGGTCGGAGACTTTACCGAAAAAACCTAAGAATACGAGTGCTACCGTTGCTCCCCACCCCGTTGTGTGCTTTCAGGGCTCCTGCTGCTGCTGCTGTTGCCGCTGGCGCCGGGGCTGGTGGCGCCGGCGGTGGGGCTGGCGGTGCGGTAGACCCAGCGGACCGCACGCTGCGTGGCGTGATGCGCGCTGGTCCCGTCGCCAAGGGGTTGCTGCTCAAGGGAGACTTGGAGCTGGCGCTGGTTTTAATCTGTAAGGACAAGCCGACCAAGACGCTGCTGGGACGCATCGTGCAACTTCTGCCCAAGCACCTCAAGGTTCCACTCGATAAGGGGGAGGATGGGAGGGGGGCTGTACATTTCAACGTCCATGATAAGGCAGCTCGCGCTCATTTGTGGCCGGGTCGCTTTTGAAAAATAGCTACATTGCTCAGAGGGCCTCGCCTGGTAAAAGACAAAATAGTTTATTGTTTAAAATAGTTTTAGACCTGCTCTTTGGTTCTTTCGGTTAAAGTCACGTGGTTAGAAATAAAATAAAATAAATCACGACGTTGGTATGTGCTGATCACCCGCCACACACGCGACCTGTCAACAGACTTAACAACAAGCGGTGTAGCCCATTCGTAGTTACGGGACTGGGTTTAAGAAACTTGCGCTGTCCGTTTCAACTGCCGTCCCAGGAGATGGAGTCGAACTTGGATTGCGAGTCCAGTGTGATGAGGACATGACACCCACAGTAGCATCACATCATATATCTTTCCAGAACAGGTCTGTCGGGAAGACAGAGTCAGAGTGTTCCCGACAGACCTGTTCTTCACCTGAGGACGGCTGTTCTTCACCTGAGGACGGCTGCTTGCGTTGTGGCCGAAACGTCGTGAGAATAATTTTATAATGTTTTATTTTATTATTTTATTATTTCCCTTCTACGTGACTTTACCGAAAGAACCTAAGAATATGAATCCTTGTAGTCACGAAAGCTTCAAATCTAGAATCAACACGGTTAAGTCAGTTGGCAGATCGCGCATGCGGTGGGTTTTCAGTGTGCATCCTCCCACCTCTTTTCCGAGACATTCGGCCGGACAGCGTGGAAGAGTAGGCCAACAACGCCCTCCTTAAGAGGTGCTCTCTCTGTTGGGAATGTCTCAACGGGCCGCCCCTTCTCCGCCAGCGTTGCCGCGCTGCGGGTTGGGTGGGCTGCGCTCTCTGACCTACGAAATTTTCCACTCTTGACCCTGCAGACGGTGCGTGCGCAGGCGGTGGCCGAGAACAAGGAGTCGTTCGGGGTGGAGAACCAAGCCAAAGAAGCAGCCCTGCTGGTCACCTGGAACCGGCCGGGGGCACCGACCCTCACCATCACCGTCACGCTCACCTGCCCCCTCATCCGTGAGGAGGCCGATCGCAAAGCCGAGGCTGACAAGAAGGCCGCCGCCGCATGTCGCCGCTGCAGCTACCGCCGGCGCGAGCGTCGCTGCCACAACCCCGACAGCCGGTGCCAAAGGTGCCGCCCCTAAAACGGCTGTCAAGACCGAGTCAACAATGCCTCCAGCGGCGGTGAAAAGTCAAAAAGGTAGTGTGAGAGCGGACGCCGGTCGCTGACGGTCGTGTTGGCGGTTTCCGTTGTGTCAAGTGCTGCTGCGTGATCGTAGCTTGTCGGTTAAACGCCATCAGTATTACCTATGTCTTTCTAAGGGACGGCAGACCCAACAAAGTGCTGGAGAACGCAAAATGTAGCCCAATTTTCACCCGGGCAACTGTAGATCGGCACATTACTAAGTGTGTCTGACCTAACATTAAAACTGACAGTTAAATATTTAAGAATCGCAAGAGACAAACAAATATATACTTTTAAAAAGAAGAATAAAAAAATGTTTACTTACTTAAAATGTCATTAGTGTAAACGTACACCGCCCTGATGCTTGTATTGTCGGCGTTGATGTCACCTAACCCTGAACCTTTTCCCAGTCTTCGCCATCAAGAGAAGAACAACTTTGTAGATCCTTCCGATAGATTCTAAACAAGCGCCACCCTCTGCATAAACATAACAACAACAACATTTAGCTTGCGCAGTAAAAAGAAAACGCTTACAGATCACAAACAACTCACGTGGCAGGGAACAAATTGCAGTCACTTCCCCATGCAGCACTCAGCATCGCCATATACCCGCCCACCCGCCCGCGACCGCGTTTGTCGGTCAATCCATCTGCCTACTCCACAACGGCTTCCCCTCTTGACACCGATCGCCACGACTCCGTAATCCCCGACACTGTCCCCCGTTCCGGGCAGTTCCAATCGGATCCCCAAACTACAGGGGACGGATCTCTGCGGCGTTCCAAAACGGCTCTTCAAATATTAGAACCCTTCGCTTTCGAGCATCTTGACCGCACGAATCGGGCGCTCGAACTTGCGTTTCAATTCGTGGTGCGTGCTGTTGCTCCTGTCACGTCCGTCATCGGCGTCGCGAGCGCTTTCATTGCAGGGGCTGCACCGATCCCGTCACCTTTGTTGCAGCTGGCTAGTTCGCGATAGCTGCAGCCAACGTGGATTCGAGACGCATCGCGTAGCAATGCTATCAATTTTTTTCCTCACACGTGCGTGTGTGTGTGTGTATCAATTCTCTCCGAATCGAATTGTGACCCCGAATCGTGGCATGAGGAAACACGGACCGACCCGTCGATTCAAAGCTCCCTTTCATCGCTCGCTCCCTCGACTCCGAGCTACGTTTGCCATCTCTTCCCCTCCGTAGCAGCTCCCCCCGTTCGGCACGGAGCGTGACGAACCGATCTGGTGCGATCGTCAATAACACTGGTCAACAACTAAAAAAACACTTTTTTCTGGCCTGGACTTTTGCAGCTGTTCTAGACTAATTTCAGGGTGCTGATTCCAAACCTGATCTCAGATTTGCTCTATCACATCTCATTTTATCGGCATACCCCTTTTTCATTGATTTTACCCGAAATTAATTCCGTCGCTTATGATTGCAAGTTGCGAGTTCAGTGGCTGCTTTAGTGTTAAAAAATGGTTCCTGTATTTTTAGAATAGTGTGTTTATAATATCATTTACTTTAGATATCCACATTTATTTAATATTTTTCTTCCGCAGTTTTTATTGACAAAATGCAATATTTGATATCTCAAAAACCTGATGTGATAGACAAAAACTGATGCCAGATTTGGAATCAGCACCTCAAAATTACATTAAAACCGTTGGAAATACCTCATGCCAGACAAAAGCGTGTTGACCAGTGTAGTAATAAACCCCCGGTCGGCTGTCCCGTGCGCTTCCGTGCTATGCTGCCGTGCGTTTTTCGGCACGATGTTTCCCGACACTTTTCGCGCTGCGCCAGTTTCCTCGGCGACCGAACGGAACGCCTGAATTTGTTCCCCGGGTTCCTGCGTAAGCGTTGCCAGCCGCTGCTGCAGCCTGTCGTAGGCCGGACGGTGTTGGTTATTTGGTTCGTTGGGGACGGAAAACAATCGGGTGTAGCCAGAGGGAGAAGCTGGAGCAGCCACAGAAAGCTCCCGTCACCTTGCCGAACAACGACGCGGTTCAACCCACGAGCGCACGGGAGAGTTGCGTGCGGCACAACTGCGGGAAGAAAAACCTCCGCAAGCGACGGAAACGAGCGCGGTTGTGTAGACGTGACACCGGATGTGGTTTACGTCCCCAAAAAACGTCGCACATAATGTTAGCGATAATAACACCGCCTCGAAGAGGTTGTTTTATTTCCTTTGAAACGTTTGGGTTCAGAACTGATCGCACCAGAGCTGATTCATTGTTCTTTTCGTGTCGAATAGGCGCTGCAGTTGCCAGAGGGAATGTGGTGATAGCGCCAAAGCAAATCGCACGTGTTGAAACTGATTTGGCTACAAGTGTCGGAAAACGAACAAAAATCTGCGGCCGAGTCACTGTCAGTCTTTCATTTTTTTGCCGCTGAAAATGTTATGTTCGCAGATTTTTCGTTTTTCAAAAGCCGTGCAAATTATCCGATCGCCGCACAGCGTAGAATCACACTGCCAGCCCGCAATTCCCTACGCCTCCCGGTGTTCCCAAAGGTGAATGAAGGCTGCATGGGGATACTGCAACACATTCTCGGTTACAATTCTAGGTTGTTATAACGGAGGCGACGGAGAGAGTTTGAGTACACCTTCGGCAAGCGGCATTCTGCGTGCCAGCCTGTGTCAGACCGGCCGTCCGCTGGGAAGAGAAACAACAACCCAAGCCAGCGGAACAAAATAATTTCAGCGAAACAAATGTCCATCACCGTTGCCGTCACTGTCATTTCTACCCCAAGTATTGCCTTGCTTTGAGCCCAGATGCTTCACGTTGCAATAATGCTCAATTTACTAGCTTATTGCGGGGCTCTTTAATCTGACGGACCGCCTTGATCGTGGCCCGTCTAGCTATGGGCCGCTCGCGCTTCCTTTTCCACTGCACAACCGAGCCACGCCTGGGGGCGTTGCCGAGCCAGCTTGACGTGGCTCGGGTCGTTTTTTTTCCACTGCGGAATCTCAAGCCGTGCCACCAACGACCTCGCCGTTCCCCCCGCCGCCCTCCCCCCGAGCCAGAATGGGACGTCCCCTTGAGGCCAGCGTAGCACGGTTTGCTTCCGGCTCTGCACGGAAAACGGCCAGTGGAAAAACCACCTGCACAGTGAGGGCCCCAAGCTTGCTCGGCTCAGATGTAGCAGTGGAAAAGGGGGCGCAAGTGGACACGGTTTGCCGAGACGTAAGGAGTTACACACTCGTGAAATCAAACCGCGATGGACGAGAGAGAGAGAGGGCTATCGGGAGGCGAGGGGCGGATTGACGGTTGTGTGTACAGACATTATCACTTTGACGCTCTTCGACGTAAAGGGCGGTGGGGTGGCACAAAGCGGAAACGCTCGTGCGCCACAGTAAGAAGGACTGGGGTTCGATTACCGAATCGGCCATCCTTCTGTGGGGAGTTGTGTACATCCTCTCTCCCCCTGTTCTGCATGGGTTTACTCCGGATTCTGTAAACGGCTATTGACCAAAACAACCCAGTGCTGATAAATTGGCTTGCAAATGAACTCAATTGGGATTGCAACATCGCCCCAAGACTGAACTTGGCAGGATCTTCCAGCAAAGAGAGTCTTGAGACTCGGTGAGGCTTTCCTGGGTAAAACAAGCGCTGGTGGTAATGTCTGTACACTGGACCCATGACATCACTATAGGAATTACTGTGGTCTTCCGTAACGTACATTCGGAAGAAACTTTTGTTCATTTGGGTGGAGCCTGGCGAGGAAGGGAATGTACACCGGATGAATTGGCTTGGAAGGTCCCTCCGCCCCGTCGTGCCAGTCTGGTGCAGAGCAATAATTAGTCGTGATGGCGACGGCAACGGCAATGTGACCACATTTGCATCGCAAAATCAAAGGGAAGAAAGAACGTGTTCACCGAAAGGGTCCAGAGACCATACGATCTTTTGGAAGACAAGACCCTCTTGGTTTTTCTCATCTTATTTTCTTATATATATTTGTCTAGCGCTTTATTCCAAGGCGCTTTACAGCAATTCTAAAATTGTAAATAACATGAGTGGTGTAGATAGTGAAGAGTGTTATTAAAAGTGGTGGTGTGGTTATGGTGACGGTGAGGAGAACAAGCGGGAAAAGTTAAGGAGGTTGGGGACGTCCTGCTCGTAGTTGGGGAACGTGGGCAGCAAGCAGCGAGCAGTGGTACTGATAGGAGTAGGGGTAGTGATAATGGTAGAGGGTAGTGATTAGCGTAGTGATGGCGGGTTGGGGTACTGATGGTAATAGGAGTGGTGATAAAGGCAGGGGTAGTGATAAGGGTTGGGGTACTGATACAAATAGGGGTAGTGATGGGGGTTGGGGTAGTGATGGGGGTTGGGGTAGGCCTGCTCGTAGCTGGGGCGCCCGGGCAGGGAGTAGCAGTAGCAGCAGGACGATGATAGTTGTTCTCAGGGAGGAATGGAAGCAGCAGGTTTCCATAGTGAAGATGGTTGTTTTATGTCACGTTCTCATTGGCAGCTTGCGTGACACAACCAGCTCGGAGAACGGTTTTAGTTGCCCTTGCCATTCATCAGCAAGTCGTAGCCGGTTCCCGCAGTCGATTAGAAGTCGAAGGTCGAACGTTCTCTCCTTTCGGTGAACGCGTTTTTCCTCCGTCAAATGCGCACAAACACGCACCACAACAAAACAATCAAATCAACTTCCACTTGGTGCAAACGATTGCCGGGACAAGTGCTGTTTCGCGAGCACTTATTAAGACCGGCGCAGCACACCAGGGGATGGTGTGGCCAACGCCGCGCCCGGTCCGTCTTTGTTTCCCCAACGTTAATTCTACACGTGGGTAAAACCGCCCGGTTCATTCGACTTGAGGGAGACCCAAGACTGGTTCAGCAATCGCCACCGTTGTTGGTTGCGAATTGAACTCCGGTCGCCAAGTTCGTCGTGAGTGCTGCGCCACCGCTGTTGAACAACTGGGTTCGCTCGTTCATCCTAGACAGGCCGTTGGGGCAAGTGCTGCTAGTGAGCACATACTCTTGAGTGAGGTACATGCTGTTAGTGAAAACATACGCAGGGAGTGTGCTGCACTGCATTCAACACCGACCCCCTCCGCAGAATGGCGTTACTCAAGTTCCTCTCCCCCTAGCACCCCACCCCTTACATCACCTCACCCTTTGCCTCACCACTCACTCTCCTGCCCGCCGCCTTACTCGTCCACTCGCCCACACATCCGACCAGCCACGTTGACTCACCCCGCCTGCCTACCCACTCTCTCTAACTCGCCCAACCAGTCGCCCACCCACCAACCAACATACTCACCCGCTCAACGACTCAACCCAGTCACCCACCAATTCACTCATTCATTCACTCGCCGTCCCACCAACTCATCCACCCACCACCACCAACCCATCTACCCAGCCCACCCACCCATCCGAGCGTCCCACACCTCTTCAACAAGCGAGCAGCAGCGGTGACGTCTCTTCCCCCTTATCGCCACCTAGAGCTGACGGCGCCCACTCCAGACGGGCCGGACGCGCTGGACAGGCAGAAATGCCTTGACGCGTTGGCGTCCCTGCGACACGCCAAGTGGTTTCAGGTTGGGTTTTGTCCCCCCTTTGTACCCCCCCCTCGCTCCCCCGCCCGTCACCCTATTACCCCGTTAACCGCGCGTGGAGTTACTGTGTACACACACGCACGCACGCATGTGCCCCTTCCGTCCACAATTGACGGACGGGTTGTGGGGAGCTAATTGTTATGGCTGGTCACTGGCGTGTACCCCCTCTCTCCCTGCCGCATGGGGAGTACGGGCTACAGCTTGTGACCTGCTTGTTCACTCTCTCGCCAAGGTCACCCCCGGGGCCAATGCTGCCCCGACTGCGCTCTGGTCGCTAGCTTAACGGACGATGCGACGCGACAGAATGACTGAGCGGTGCTCTACCTGCAGATGCGTCCCTGTGCCACGTGCCGCAGGCTCCGATACGAGTTTGAGGCTTCGTTAAATTCTATAAGTAAATATTAGGGGAGACGTGTGTCGCCCGCCATTGTGAATTGGCGTGGTGCAAAGTTGTTAGACTGTCGTCGCGGGGGCTGACATCACCGGAGCGCCAGGATGTATGGCGCTCTGTGGTGAACGTGAAGTCCTCTTTTGCGCATTTAATGAAGATTCAAACTCGTGTTTGGTCAGCCCAGTCCACACGGCCTAGGCGTGCATATCTACAAGGTAGGAGCTGCTTGGGTGTTTTTTTATCCGTCGCGTCCAACTTTGCACGTTGGGCCCGCTTGGTGCCATGATCGCGATGCCCGGATCGGTCGGAAGGGTCATCAGTGGGATGCCCAGTTGAAGGTGGGGGGGGTGAATGGATAGACTTGCCCGATCACCATCGTATCTCCCGGTGTTGATAAAACGAGTACCGAATTGTGGGAAATCCTGCAGAGAGAGAGACACACCATGGGTCGTTGCCCCGCTGTAGAGCCAGCGACAGAATTTTCACCGCTGGTTCCCAAACGGTTGCCCAATAGCCCTCGGGGGAGGGGTGGGGGGCGGGGGGTGATGGGAGTTGAGGAAAGATCTGGGAGGGTTCAGAGTTGTGTCAACCAAACCCCCACCTCCCCCCTTCCTCCCACCACCACCACTATCGTGTAGGCCGCGCAGCATAGCATTTCATACCAGGGCAATTGGTGAAATGGCATCGGCATTGCTTGTGGGGGTGACCTTGATGTGTAGGTGGGGGGGGGGGGGGTCCATGCGCTGATACATTTTGCTGTCCGATTGGAACCGTTGTGAAGAAAAGTAATATTTATTTCCACACCGGTCTGCCGACGATTGTAAACAACGTGATGTAAGAATTTATAGTCGCACTCGGATGACGACGAGATGTGCTCGTAATGCTCTCGTTGGCCCAGAGGCACCGCGGTTTCCCGAACTCTCTTCCGATCTGCGGCTCGACTTCTGTGCGCCGTCCAATTGGACTACGATGGGGCCCACAAACTCATTTAATTTGGAATTCAAACACACGAGGGGTGGGCGGTCACCGTGCAGACTTCTGCATTTGCGCTGCTGCTCTGTAGCTCTCCGACGCGCGTCGTGCAGCTCTTGCCTTGCGTAGTTTTGTTGTGCGCCGTCCCGACGTTTCGCCACCCCCCCTCCCCCCCGACACGTGCTCACGGCATCTTCAGGAACTCCCCCAGTACGGGCAGACCTCGCCGAGTGCCACCCCCCCCCCCCCCCCCATTTCAATTCTGTGAGTGCTCCCTTCCTCCCAGGAAGGAAAGAATCTATGGGCATCGAGCGAGGTCTGCCCGTATTCGGCCGCACGTTGATATTTTGGTTTTCCCGGGCCGGTGGGGCGGAACGTCGGACTTCGTGCCGAACAAACACACGGTACAGGCCCGTAACAGCATCGGAGGGCTAGAGTGCCACAGTCTGCGTTGGGTCCATATCAACCTCACCCCAGAACCTTCACCTCTAAGCCCCCGCCATCTCTCACATCCTCCAAAAATTGAAGCTGCCAATTCCACGATTGCCCTCTGCGGCAATGCGAGTGCCTGGGCCCGGTTTTGGCGGAGGCTGCATCCCAGTGGCGTGGCTCAGCTGTGAAGGTTGTTGGGGTGAAATGAGTTGAGCGGCGAGTGCAGGGTTTTAAAGATATTTTTGCGCACCGTTCGTTTGGCGAGTTTCGTAAAGGAATTGGAAAGCACTTCCCCCCCCCACCCCCGTCCGTCTCTTGTGTAGGAATTCGTTCAATGCTATGATGACAACCCACGGTTTAAATTGCTTGTGACGATGCCTGTACGCTACACGGTGACTCCACGCGCATGATGTTGTCCCTTTTGTAGCCTTGCGGAACTGATGTGTGTACCAATATTTCACCGTTACCAAGCGGCGATTGCCGTCAGGTGGTATTAGAAGCTTCATTGCAGCTCGAAAGCAGTGATCATTTGGCAAACAATTAGCAACGGAAATATTTGTCGAATCGTTTTTTTAGTTTCGTCGACGACGATGACTGATTGGACAGAACTGGTAAAGTGTGACGATGTCAACGCCTACTACTGACCACGATCATCACTAATACTACAACCCAACATCATCGTAACTGCTATCACTACTGTCGTGATCACTACTAGGACCCATCACTGCTACCACCACCATCGTCGTTACCGTCATTGCAAACACCACCATCACTACTACCACAACCATCATCATCACTACTACTACCATCACCATCTAGCTGTGAGACTGACTGTGACGAGACGTAATTAGTTTGAATGAAGATGCAGACTTGAGATAATTTGACAACATTACTGAGACTGAAGTGGACTAAAGGAAGACCAAGCATGGTAATTGGCTGTGTGTGTGTAGATATATAAAGATTTAGCCAGGTCACTGATTGGCTGACATGATAATATTGGTGTACCCTTCACACCAACATTTAACAAGTATCAGTGACTTAATGTTTGCTTTAGTCAGTGAGGCTAGACTAAGAGAATTACTCCATGAAATCCACAGATAGGTTATGATAATTGGTTTTTTACCCTTTTATCTGGCAACAAAACCAATTATCATATTTTTGCTACTGGCAAATGAGGTTCCAATGGTGCCACAGATAGGTTGTCGTCGATCAGACTAAGACTGTGACTAAAATAAGAAATGCCAAGTTAAATCAACTCTGTTTACAAGTCTGCGATGCCCAATTATTTTTTTAAGTTGCAGAAAGTTGACCGTTACGGAAATTGGCCAAACGTCTCGGGGTAGGACTCTCCCAAATAACCTGCAGTTTACTCGGTTGGGAAAACAATTAAAATTGGTAAGGTCACCCTCTGGCTACAGTGGCCCATTGAGCTTCAGTGTAGCCGGACCCTCCTGGAAGAGAGTCCAGAGACTCACTTGAGGATTTAATGTGGCCAGACCCTCCTGGAAGAGAGTCCAGAGACTCCCGTGAGGATTTAGTGTAGCCGGACCCTCCTGGAAGAGAGTCCAGAGACTCACTTGAGGATTTAATGTGGCCAGACCCTCCTGGAAGAGAGTCCATAGGCTCCCGTGAGGATTTAGTGTAGCCGGACCCTCCTGGAAGAGAGTCCAGAGACTCACTTGAGGATTTAATGTGGCCAGACCCTCCTGGAAGAGAGTCCATAGGCTCCCGTGAGGCTTCAGTGTAGCCGGACCCTCCTGGAAGAGAGTCTATAGGCTCCCGTGAGGATTTAATGTAGCCGCACCCTCCTGGAAGAGAGTCCATAGGCTCCCGTAAGGCTTCAGTGTGGCCAAACCCTCCTGGAAGAGAGTCCAGAGACTCACTTGAGGATTTAATGTGGTCAGACCCTCCTGGAAGAGAGTACATGGACTCCTTTCCATCAGTAAATGAATAACTTAAATTAAATTTACTTAAATAGGGAGAATACAATTATCCCTAGTGATGTTATGCAACATTTTTATTTTATGTATGTATTTTGAACTTCGTTTGTACCATACGTGTAGTGCTAATCGGAGGTGCAGGGGCTGGACAACAAACTAAACACAATAAGCAGTTCTAAAGAAATTCGTTTCAATCTCGTATATTGGTGTAGTGTACAATGTAGTGTGTGTAATGTAGGGTGTAGTGTAGTATTATGTATGTTGAACTTCTTTCGCACCATACGGAGCCAACCGGGCTAATCGGAGGTGCAGGGGAAGGACAACAATCTAAAGTACAGCAGCAAGCAATTAACGAGATGCCAAAAACAATAATTCTCCATTGCGTAAAAATAATGTTATCCCTATACCATTGTCCTGTAGCATATATTGATAATGCCTAAGAATCAGTCATGATTATTCTTAGGTTTTTTCGGTAAAGTCACGTAGGTAAAACATTAAAAAAGTAAAATAATGGTGACGGTCCCACCTGAGGACGGAAGCTTGTGTTGCCTCCGAAACGTCGTGATTTTTATTTTATTTTACTTTTTTAATGTTTTACCTACGTGACTTTACCGAAAAAACCTAAGAATATGAATCCTTGCAGTCACGAAAGCTTCAAATCTAGAATCAGTCATGAGGCTACGAAACTATTGTTTATGGGCTTTTTTGTTGTCTTGCCAAAAACTTGACAGAGTGACAAAAAGAAATGGCTCCGCAGTTTGAAAGTCAGTCGATTCTTAGTCAAAGCTTTTTTTTTTTAGAAGGAAAGAAATCTATCTGTACAAGCCGGTCGTTGCTGCGAGTTTCAACTCACAACTCATATATTTGGCTAACGCGGTTATCCTCCCTTTAGAGCCTACTGATTTATCGCTCATCTCAGTCCAGCGCGAATCTTTGCATTATAAGATTCTCCTGGTAACCGTTTAACGTGAACCCCGTAAATAGTACAGCGTTGTGGAGAATGTAGTAAAAAAACGACTCGCTTGAGTTGAGTAACAGAAATCGGTTATCTCCACACTGCTATCGGCTTGCGATGTCCGTCAATGCAAGAGTTTGTTGGTAGGGTAAACGAACTGAACATTTACACCTGAAAGGTCACCGTGATTGTCTTTTGCTCGGGAAAAGGAACTAAAAAATGAAATGTGCCGACTTGGATGAACGCAAAAAATTCCAAGAGGTGTTTCTTTTCCCCCCTTGTTTTAATCGGTGGAAACATAACTAAATAACATGCCGGCTTTTCGCGACAGAAGTGATATTTGCGGAACGTGTTTGTCAAAATCTAAAAGCCACCTTTTGCATCGACAAAGAATCGCCCTTAACACATTCGGCGGCCAAAGTGACGCTTGGCTCAATTTTAATTCCGATGGGTTGTCTGAAATTCTTGTATCGAGGCACGGACCTCAAAATCCTGAGCGCGGGCTAAACTGCTGAAGGTTCCGCGTCTTTTTTTTGAGAGTCGAAAACTGAGCGGTCATCAATGTGGTGTTTTGGCTGAAGTCTTCCGAATTGCCCCGTGCACTTCTTAATGGCGCTCAACTCCGGCAATTCACTCGTCAACCCGGCGGGGGGCGGCGGGGGGGGGGCACCACCTTCCGTCGAAAACAAAACCACAACCGCGTCACCTCACCTGACGCCCCCCCCCCCCCCCACAACGCCTCTCTCGGTCGTGTCCAGCTCCTCCCACCTCTTATTGCCTGTGAACAAGAAGAGGCGGAGGTGTAAAACTGGCGCGGTTTGTCCTGGTCGTGCCACGGCGTCTCCTGGTTCGCAGGCAGAGGGAATTTGCCCTGCCGCCCCCTGATTTGCACGGCAAAACTGGATCATGTGACACCCTCCTCCCCCCTCCCCCCCCCACAATATTTTTCTGAGCCATGAAGCGATGGTGCTGATTTGCTTGGACCGGCGGGGGGTGGCGGGGGGGGCGATTTCAACCACCCAACGATCTTGAAGGCGACGAATCGTGCCGACGCCACATTGCATTGTGGGCTTTTCTCATTCTCTGTGGCAGCGAAGTCCACTGGTTTTTACCGTTGGTTGCCACGGTTTAAATCAGAGGCTCCCAAACTGGGGGACGAATAAACAAAAACTCCCAAGCATTTTCGTCAACAACAACAACGCAAGGGGCAGTGTTGATTGATGAACGTGCAGAGCTTTGGTTATTTGCGCGCCACCGCCAACGTCGCAAGAAAGAATAGTTGAGCTCGAAAACTGGGGAGCTACGGCTTCCTATTGAGAGCGGAAGTCGAGTCCTATTATTTGTTCAAGGTGTGTCCCTCGGTCCAAATGAGGTTGAGAGAAGCTCCCCGTTGTGCATTCGGCTTGCGCCGCTGAATGGCGTTCGGCACACGGATGTGTGCGGCGTTTCGCCCCCACGTGCCGGGAGCATTCTTTCGAGACGAATGCTGTTGCCGTATAATGGAGGGAGAAAGCGAGCCGCTCCATTCAGTTCCTCAAGAAGCTGCTATCGCTACGTGGGGCTGAAACGTCAGGAGCTGCTATTGCCACGCGGTGGCGGCGGTGACGGCATCGGGGGCGCAATCCGAAAAGCGCGGCGGAGAGCCATGCAGCGGCACAGCCGTGAACAAAAACAACCGCACGCAGTGCTTGAGGAGGTCAGGGAGGAGCAGAGGATGAAGCCGTTACGTGAATACTTGGTGCAGGCACGAGTGTGGGACGCAGTCGGATGGCTCTTTTGGACAAAGCCAGACAACCTGGGGAAGTTTTCCCCCTCTCGAGACCAGACATCTCCACCCCGTGTCGTTCCAAAGAGTCTTGGCCAGGATGAGCACAGCAGTTGGATTGGGCGTTTCGATTTGCTTACTGCCCCGGGGGGGTGGGGGGGGCGGCGGGGGGCGGGGGTGGGAGGTTCGAGGTTCGCTCACAGGACTGCTGCTGATGGCAGGAAAAGTTAGTATTGATTTGGCGGACGAAACAACTTCAAGCAAAAACCTGGAGAACTCGCCCCTCTGGTCCCAAGTGCCGTTCTTCTGGGTCGGGCCAAGTGTTGAGCTTTTTTTCTCTCACGCTTTACGCCACGCACAACTTTCCCAGCAGTCGTCTCGAGGAGTTGCAGTGAAAATCGGGGGGTTGGGGGAGAGGTGCTTCAGGAAGCTCCAATTCGAATCGTTGGCACGTTAGGTGTTCGTGCCATTCTTCACGGCGCACGAGGCTTTCGTGAAGGGTAGTAGTCACGGTCATGTCGATTTGGTTTCGCCAGGAGAGTCTCATTTGCAAGAGTGACCCGTGGGGTCACCGTGGCGACGTGCTTCGCCGACGCAACCTGCGGTAGTTCCACGGCAGGTGGCGACGATTGGTGCGTTTTCGCATTTTGAGTAATTTCGCGGTGCGCTTAACTTTTCGAATTTGGAAAAAAAATTGGGACTGGAAACCGTCAACAGTCGGCAACGTGCGGCGAACGCTCTACTACACTCGGCCTTGTGTTTACACGGAGCTCGGTAGAAAGCAGAGGTCGCAAACGGGTTTTAATTTCTTACCCGTACCCGGCCGCACCAGGGTCGCAAACGGGTACCCGTACCCGGCCGTACCCTACCCATACCCGGCCGGGTACGGGTAGGGTACGGGTATCGGGTACCTGATTGCGACCTCTGGGATGAAGCCATGTTGCAGGCGCGGGTGGGTTGATTCTAGGAACTTGAATTGTGAGAAGAGACAAGACGTTGGGAAATGAGTGACAAACGGTTACTCACCAGTGACTCACGGTCTACCCGTACCCGTACCCGGCCGCACCAGGGTCGCAAACGGGTACCCGTACCCGGCCGGGTACGGGTAGCCGGGTATCGGGTAGGGTACGGGTATCGGGTACCCGGTTGCGACCTCTGGTAGAAAGGCGTGGGCCCCGCACCTGAGCGATCACGTTGCATGCAACTGGAATCGCTCGTGTGCGGAGGATGGCTCTGCAACCAGAGACCTCGTCCGTGCGTGAGCGTTCAATCGAGGTGCCCGTTTTTCTTCGTTGCTGCTGCGCAAGCGAACGCCAGGGCCGTGGGCCCGCCCCAAGAAGCCTGCCGTCGTGCGTTTGCCGGAAGCTTTTGAGAGAAGACGCGGCTCAACACGCGGCCTGACCCTTGAAGTAGCCCACACTTGGAGCTATGAGCGGCTGGGGCAAAACAACAACAAAAAGTGCTCATGAATTGACACCCCGGTCTGGCTGAAGCTTGCAGGGTTATGTGGCAGGGGAGACGGTGGCGCACCGATGCTATAGCTTATAACCTGGAACCGAAGATTCGGTGAACGGTGGCTGCCGAGTTCGGTTAACTTTCCGACGTTCTTCTCATCGGACGGTTAAACGAATGGGAAGGCGCGTCGCAGATGCATTAGGTTGCTTTTCAACCGGTTAGGGTCGGGGGTGCAATGCTTGTAAAATAAAAGATACAACTAATCCGGGCCAAAAGCAAAACCTAACTCGATGGGTTTGGTGTTTTGGGAATGACTTTGTAATCCAAGTGGATTTTGTTTTGGCCCGGACTTGCACTCGCCAGTCGAAAAGTCGAGCGGAGTTTCACTTTCGAAGTCTCGCCGTGAGTTTTTTTGCGACGCTCGCACGTTCGGTTATTTTCTGGCCGCTCGCGATGGATCGCAAACGGTCAAAAACGTAACGGAATCGTCACGATTTTCCAAGCGTCCCTTGAGTTTAGCGGGAATTGAGACGTCCCAATGGATTTGCCCGCTCAAAATGAACGTCGAGAAGGAGGACAGAGAAAAACAAAAGCGACGCAAATTGTCCCTCGTCGCAGGTGCAAACGCGTCTGCCTCCCACCTGAGGTTTACTTCAGGGTCTCATGAGGAGTCGGGCGTGTTCAACAAACGCAGCTCGTTTTCTTGGTTCTTTCGGTAAAGTCACGCAGAAGGGAAATAATAAAATAATAAAAATCAAACATAATAAAATAATTCTCACGACGTTTCGGCCACAACGCAAGCAGCCGTCCTCAGGCGAAGAGGACGGCTGCTTGCGTTGTGGCCAAAACGTCGTGAGAATTGTATTTGATTATGTTTTATATTTATTATTTTATTATTTCCCTTCTACGTGACTTTACCGAAAGAACCAAGAAGATGAATCCCTGCAGTCACGAAAGCTTTAAATCGAAATTCAAACGCAGCTCGGTCGCCAGCTGTTATCGACAAGAGCTCTCCGTATAAACCGCGGGGCCCTAAAGACACGCTTGAGATTTCCTCAACAGCGAAATGAATATAGAAAATAGGTTACATTCGTATCGTAGAATCTGAGTGTGTTCCCTCTGACTGTGTGTATGCATCTGTGCATTCTCTGGTCGTTGAAGTTCACTCCCCACAGCAAAAGAACAAACTGTTGACTAAGCGTCCCAATGTAAGCAGGCCCAAAAGAGTTGGTGATTTCCTGTCCAAGTGGCCATTGGCAGTTAACCTGCCGTTTTAAAGCCCTGCAGTGCCAGTGGTGTGAAATCACACGTTTCCCATGCAGTCTGTCCAGAGTTAAATCCACTCTTAGGTGTTTATTTTATCTGCCACGGAGGGATGATGGGCCGAGGGTGAACGCCCCAACCAGGGTTTGAACTCACTACCCACCACCGGGCTACCTGGCCGGTTCATTCCCTCCCAAAAGCAGAGTCTATAGATAACCAAAGGACGTTGTTATATTAATGTTAGTTTAAAATTTTTCTCGCATCGTCATTAATTTGTTTTTCTCCCCCCCCCCCACCACCGCCCCTCCCCGAAGGCCCGTGCATCGTCTTTGAGGTCGTGCGTCATCGTCATCCGCATACTCCGTGACCTGTGTGCGCGCGTGCCCACGTGGTCTTCACTCAAGGGATGGGTGAGTCCTTGAAATCCGTCGGTGTCCGTAAACGATGAGAACTTTTCTCGCCGCACAACGCGGCGGGTGGCGCGGTGGTGCCCCCCGTGCCTCACAGCAACGAGGTCGAGGGTTCGATTCCAGACTCGGACGCCTTTTCCACGTGGAGTTTGTGTGTTCTCACCCCGTTCTGCGGTGTGAGTGAGCGAGTGGAGTTTGTATGTTCTCCCCCTGCTCTATAGAGCGAGTGGAGTTTGTATGATCTCCTTTTGTGGTACAGAGCAAGAGTGACTGTGTGTCGTTTGTTTGATCTCCCCCTGTTCTACAGAGTGAGTGAGTGGAGTTTGTATGATCTCCCCCTGTTCTACAGAGTGAGTGAGTGGAGTTTGTATGATCTCCCCCTGTTCTACAGAGTGAGTGAGTGGAGTTTGTATGATCTCCCCCTGTTCTACAGAGTGAGTGAGTGTAGTTTGTGTGATCTCCCCCTGTTCTACAGAGTGAGTGAGTGGAGTTTGTATGATCTCCCCCTGTTCTACAGAGTGAGTGAGTGGAGTTTGTATGATCTCCCCCTGTTCTACAGAGTGAGTGAGTGGAGTCTGTATGATCTCTCCCTGTTCTACAGAGTGAGTGTGTGTAGTTTGTATGATCTCCCCTTGTTCTACAGTGAGAATGAGTGAGTGTAGTTTGTATGATCTCCCCCTGTTCTACAGAGTGAGAATGAGTGTGTAGTTTGTGTGATCTCCCCCTGTTCTACAGAGTGAGTGTGTGTAGTTTGTGTGATCTCCCCCTGTTCTACAGAGTGAGTGTGTGTAGTTTGTATGATCTCCCCCTGTTCTACAGAGTGACTGAGTGAGTGGAGTTTGTATGATCTCCCCCTGTTCTAAAGAGTGAGTCTGAAGTGACATCCGATAGCCTAAAGAACAGCGTGTCCAGGGTTACGGCGGAGACGACGATGGGCACAGTGGTGACGCCGCTGGTAGGGTTCATGATGACGACGATGATAATGACGACGATGATGACGACGATGACATTGTTGATGTTGCAGGCGATGGAGCTGATCTGTGAGAAGGCGATCGGCACGAGTGAGCGCCCGCTGGTAGGGTTCATGACGATGATAATGACGACGATGATGACGACGATGACATTGTTGATGTTGCAGGCGATGGAGCTGATCTGTGAGAAGGCGATCGGCACGAGTGAGCGCCCGCTGGTAGGGTTCATGACGATGATAATGACGACGATGATGACGACGCTGACATTGTTGATGTTGCAGGCGATGGAGCTGATCTGTGAGAAGGCGATCGGCACGAGTGAGCGCCCGCTGGGCGTGGGCGAGGCTCTGCGCCGCGTGCTCGAGTGCCTCGCCTCGGGCATCCTCCTCGAAGGCAAGAGCAGCACCACCATCATCATCAGCAGCACCACCACCATCACGAGCAGCAGCACCACCACCACCACCACCATCATCATCAGCAGCATCATCATCATCAGCAGCACCACCATCATCATCAGCAGCACCACCACCATCACGAGCAGCAGCACCACCACCACCACCATCATCAGCAGCATCATCATCATCATCAGCAGCACCACCATCATCATCAGCAGCACCACCATCATCAGCAGCAGCAGCACCACCATCATCAGCAGCACCACCACCACCGTCATCAGCAGCAGCACCACCATCATCAGCAGCAGCACCACCATCATCAGCAGCAGCACCACCATCATCACGAGCAGCAGCACCACCACCACCACCACCATCATCATCAGCAGCATCATCATCATCAGCAGCACCACCATCATCATCAGCAGCACCACCACCATCACGAGCAGCAGCACCACCACCACCACCATCATCAGCAGCATCATCATCATCATCAGCAGCACCACCATCATCATCAGCAGCACCACCATCATCAGCAGCAGCAGCACCACCATCATCAGCAGCACCACCACCACCGTCATCAGCAGCAGCACCACCATCATCAGCAGCAGCACCACCATCATCAGCAGCAGCACCACCATCATCAGCAGCAGCAGCATCATCATCAGCACCACCATCATCAGCAGCAGCACCACCATGACCATCAGCACCACCATCATCATCAGCAGCACCACCATCATCATCAGCAGCACCATCATCAGCAGCAGCACCATCAGCAGCAGCACCACGATCAGCATCATCAGCACCACCATCATCATCAGCAGCAGCACCATGACCATCAGCACCACCATCATCATCAGCAGCACCACCATCATCATCAGCAGCACCATCATCAGCAGCAGCACCATCAGCAGCAGCACCACCATCATCAGCAGCAGCACCACCATCATCAGCAGCAGCACCACCATCATCATCAGAAGCAATTTCACCATCATCAGCAGCGTCATCATTATCAGCATCAGCAGCAGCATCATCATTATCAGCAGCATCATCACCATCATCAGCAGCACCACCATCATCACCATCAGCACCACCATCATCAGCAGCAGCATCATCACCATCAGAAGCAATATCACCGTCAGCAGCAGCGTCATCATTATCAGCAGCAGCAGCGTCATCATTATCAGCAGCAGCAGCAGCAGCGTCATCATTATCAGCAGCACCATCATCAGCAGCAGCACCATCAGCACCATCAGCAGCAGCACCATCAGCTATCTCAGGGAATTATAAGGGAATGTTACACTTGTTTAGCCAGGAAAGCCTCATTAATTTAAATGTTTTAATTAAAAGCTATCTGAGGGAATTATAAGGGAATGTTACACTTGTTTATCCAGGAAAGCGTCACTGAGTCTAAAGGCTTTTGTAGGGTCATGCCAAGTGTTTGCAGTAGGGGGCGATGTTGCTACACGGACGGACAAACGGACGGACGATATAATCTATTGTAGGCTGGTCCACTTCGTTCCTACCAGTATCGGCATCATCACAATCAGCAGCATCATGGCAGTGCGTCTCTCTCTCTCTGTCCCTCTTACGCTGCCTGCCAGCAGCGTGAAGGAAAGCTGTAATGCAAGTTGAATAAAAGACCGGATTCCAGAAGTCGCCTCAACGACCCTTATTACATTCTAGATTTGAAGCTTTCGTGACTGCAAGGATTCATATTCTTAGGTTTTTTCGGTAAAGTCACGTAGGTAAAAAATTAAAATTAATAAAAGTAAAATAAAATAAAAATAAAATAAAAATCACGACGTTTCGGAGGCAACACAAGCTTCCGTCTTCAGGTGGAACCGTCACAGCCCGCTTGCTGTATCAAGTAAATGAGAGATTTCAGATTTACGGGATAGTATCTCTTGGAATCTCTCATTTACTTGATACAGCAGTCGTGCTGTGACAGTTCCACCTGAAGACGGAAGCTTGTGTTGCCTCCGAAACGTCGTGATTTTTATTTTATTTTTATTAATTTAAATTTTTTACATATGTGACTTTACCGAAAAAAACTAAGAATATGGACCCTTTCGATTTAAAGCTTTCGTGACTGCAGGGATTCATCTTCTTGGTTCTTTCGGTAAAATAATAAAAATATAAAACATAATAAAATTATTCTCACGTGAGAATAATTTTATTATGTTTTATATTTTTATTATTTTATTACTTCCCCTCTACGTGACTTTACCGAAAGAACCAAGAAGATGAATATGGACCCTTATTACAGATACATTGAGTATTGAAAGCTATCTTTGGTGGCCTTGTCTGTTCCCCACCTCGCAGACGGCTGTGGCATCTCTGACCCATGCGAGAAGGAGTTGACGGACGCCCTGGCCTCGATGACACAGCAGCAGCGCGAGGACATCACGCAGAGCGCGCAGGTGAGTCTGCTGCTCCGTCATAGTAATGTGGAATTTCCCTTGACACGCGGGGGACATCCAATGTCGCGTGAACACTCGGCGAGTATGTTCTTGGTTCTTGGTTCTTTCGGTAAAGTCACGTAGAAGGGAAATAATAAAGTAATGAAAATAAAATACAATTAAATTCTCACGACGTTTCGATGGCAACACAAGCAATCGTCATCAGGTGTGAAAACCGCGGCAAGAAAATTTGAAGAAAGTGGCGTTTTTTTCTTAACATCAGCACCACAGACAGCAATTGGAGGTTGTTCAGACTGACGAGTCGATCTATGCTCGGCACGGAGGAGGGGGGAGAGAAAGAGAATGGAATGCGGTCTGAAAATCACCGTAAGCGTGAACATACAGCACTTGTGCCAGTGGTCTGCGGTGGGCTACGTGGAGGATCTTTGCCTGTGTGTGTGTGTGTGTTGTTTGTGTGAGAGCAGCATGCGCTGCGGTTGCTAGCCTTCGGGCAGGTCCACCGTGTGCTGGGCATGGATCCGCTCCCCAAGAAGGGCAAGGGAGTCAGCGACGCAGGTGAGAAATGTCGGCCCGCGCGCAGCTTCTCCTGACGGCGCCATCGTTGTGATGAACGTGCCGAGCCGGTGGTTCGCTCGCTCGCTCGCCAACTCCTCGGTTTTCCGTTTGTCGCTCCGAACCGGGCAGGTGATACGGTACAAGGCGCCGGCCCCGTGGCTCTGAAGAGACCCCTGGAGAACTCCTCTCAGCCCGACGCCAAGAAGCGCAAGTTCGGCCTCAAAGGTAGGGCGTTGGGACGTCGCTCCAGGCCGACCACGGCGTGATGGAGTTTGGCGTTTTTGCTAAAAAGAAATCGGCGCGGCCCTCACGGCACCTCGGCGCGTTCCGTGCCCCGCGGCCTCCTGCCCAGCGGCGAGCCTTTGACACGACACGCGACGGCTTCAAAGCAGCCCCCAGCCTGGCGCAAGCGCCGGGGTTATGGGGGTGAGGACGACGATGACGACGTCACCGCCGCTCGGTGGCCAACGCCGGTTGTTGTTGTTGTTGTTGTCGTCGTCGCTGCTGCTGCTGTAGGGGAGGTTAAGGGCAAGGAGTCGAGCCAGCCGATGAATGCGGTGATGCGCCTGAACCACATCCGCACGGGGCTGCAGTACAAGCTGATCTCCGAGTCGGGGCCCGTGCACGCGCCCGTCTTCACCATGGGCGTGGAGGTCAACGGCGTCGCCTACGAGGCCTCGGGATCGTCCAAGAAGGCCGCCAAGCTGCACGTCGCTGTCAAGGTGTGACGGGGGGGGGGCGGTGGTGATGGGGTTGTAAAGGAGGTGGCGTCAGTGGGCCGGAGGTGTGGGCGGCAGGTGGGCAGGAGGTGGGCGGAGGCAGAGGTCGCAGCCGGGTACCCGATACCCGATACCCGGCTACCCGTACCCGGCTGGGTACGGGTACCCGTTTGCGACCCTGGTGCGGCCGGGTACGGGTAGCCGGGTAGGCCGTGAGTCACTGGTGAGTAACCGTTTGTCACTCATTTCCAAACGTCTTGTCTCTTCTCACAATTCAAGTTCCTAGAATCAACCCACCCGCACCTGCAACATGGCTTCATCCCAGAGCTCGCAATCGGGTACCCGATACCCGTACCCTACCCGTACCCGGCCGGGTACGGATAGGGTACGGGTACGGGTACGGCCGGGTACGGGTACCCGTTTGCGACCTCTGGCGGGAGGTGGGCAGGAGTGGACGGAAGGGGATGGGAGGGGTGGATAGGAGGTGGGCGAGAGTGGACCGGTGTTATTGTGTTGAGTTTTTATTTTATTTTGTGCACCGCTGCCAAGGCCAGCATCGGCAAATAATCTGTCTGATGTGTATACATCTCCGTGCATCTCTCACGACAGGTGCTTCAGGCTCTGGGCCTACCCACAGGCGTGGAGATGAAGATGATGGAGGAGGAGGCAAAGGCCAGTGAGGAGGGCCTCAAGGGCGAGGCCTCGGCGGGGACCTCGGTGGCCTCGGTGGCCTCGGTGGCCGCGGTGGTGACGGTTGTGGAGGCGGGCACGGCGCTGACCGAGGTCAAGGCGGAGGGCAAGGGAGCCAGCAGAGAAGCGGCGTCGGCAAACTCCGCCGCTACCACCAAGACTTGCGTGGTGAGCGGGCTCGGTGGAGAAGTCCTGCTCATAGACCCAACACTGCCCATAGACTTGGCACTGCACCATAGACTAACACTGCTACCCATAGACTCAGCACTGCCCAGAGACTCAACACTGCACCATAGACTAACACTGCTACCCATAGACTCAGCACTGCCCAGAGACTCAACACTGCACCATAGACTAACACTGCTACCCATAGACTCAGCACTGCCCAGAGACTCAACACTGCACCATAGACTAACACTGCTACCCATAAACTCAGCACTGCCCAGAGACTCAACACTACCCATAGACTCAGCACTGCCCATAGACTCAACACTGCCCATAGACTCAGCACTGCCCATAGACTCAACACTGCCCATAGACTCAACACTGCCCATAGACTCAACACCGCACCATGGACTCAACACTGCACCACAGACCCAGCACTGCCCATAGACTCAGCACTGCCCCTTTTCATTAAACAATCCTCCTCCTTCTTAACCTCCTTCCATTCCTCTTAAAGCCTCGAATGAGTGCCTTGTGCGGTGTGTAAACATCGCCACTGGGGAGACAAAGGTGGTCAGGTATCATCCTGGCCCCCTCACGTCACGTGCTGAGCCGGCCTTCATAGGTGCTCGCTAACAGCACTTGCCCCAACAGTCTGTTCAGGCTATACGGGGGATCTTTGTCTTGTGTGTGAAGTGGTCGTGTAGTGGTTAGCGCACTGCACTACGAACCCGGCCACCCGAGTTCGATACCAGCTCATGGCCAACACCAGTCATGATTATCTAAACCAGTCCTGGGACTCGCATATATTGATTCGGACACAAATGAGTACCGAGAATGATGTGTAAATGTAATATCTGATGTGTAAATATTGTTACTCGGGAGACAAAGGCGGCCGGACGTGTATGGTGATTATGCTAACGCCGTGTATGTGTGTGTGTGATGATGCACCTAGCCTGGCACAAGCACCGTGGTGACATCACCCGCCACTGATTGGTGAACAACGGTTGTTGTTGATAATTGGTTTTTGATCCTTTTATCTGGCAACAAAACTGACACCTTTTTTACGAGGAGTCATGTTTGCATAGACCACAATACCTGCAGTCATAATGCAAACAAAAAACACAACTCTGATAATGTATGCACTGTCCTGTTGTGTTTTTTGTTTGCATTACAACTGCAGGTATTGTGGTCTATGCAAACATGACTCCTCGTAAAAAAGGTGTCAGTTTTGTTGCCAGATTAAAGGGTAAAAACCCAATTATCATATTTTTTCTTCTGGCAAATGAGGTTCCAATGGTGTAAATGCTTACCCCGAGCTCTCATACTCTGATGGTGCATTGTCTTTGAGTTGTGCGTCTTTTGGCATCATCTGGTCCAACACCATGTGAGACTAGGCTCTAAGGAAAGCTGTCTCGGGTGTGGACCAATCAACTTCAAGGACAGTGCATACATTATCAGAGTTATGTTTTTTGTTTGCATTATGACCGCAGGTATTGTGGTCTATGCAAACATGACTCCTCGTAAAAAAGGTGTCAGTTTTGTTGCCAGATAAAAGGGTAAAAAAAAACAATTATCATATTTTTTACTGGCAAATGAGGTACCAATGGTGTAAGCGGTTGTTGTTGTTGATGATGATGATGGTGGCCACGATGCTAACGACGGGAGCGCGCGTGCGAGGATCACAGGCGGTGATGAAGCAGCCCGGCCTGGTGCTTACCGCGCAGGGCAAGAACCCCATCATGGAGCTGAACGAGAAGCGTCGCGGACTCAAGTACGAGGTCACGTCGGAGGAGGGGGGCAGCCATGACAAGCGCTTCATCATCCAGGTGGCCTGCTGCTGCTGCCGCCTCCTCCTCCTCCTCTCTTTCCTCTCTCCTCATCCCCCTTCCTCCCTCCACATCCTCCCTCCTCATCCTCCTCCCTCCTCATCCTCCACCCTCCTCCCCCTCCCCCCTCCTCCCTCCACAATCCTCCCTCCTCCCCCCCTGCCTCCTCATCCTCTGCCCTCCTCCCCCTCCTCCCTACCCGTACCCTACCCAAAATGAGTGACAAACGGTTACTCACCAGTGACTCACGGCCTACCCGTACCCGTACCCGGCTGGGTACGGGTAGCCGGGTATCGGGTAGGGTACAGGTATCGGGTACCCGGTTGCGACCTCTGCCTCAGAGGGGTCCTGGCTACCGTTGGCCCAACCGGTCCGGACTGGTTTCTACCGCTCCCCACCAAGGGGCGCGGGGGGTTCTGTGGGATCGCAGACGCTGCCCACAGCCCCCCCCCCCGGCGGGTCCCGGCTAAGAGTACACAACCTCCCCGTACCGGTAAGCACCCTGGTTCTGGCGTGTGTGTGTCAACGTGACCACCACACCTTTAAAACTAGAACGTGAGCGTGCTAGGAATGCACACGTGCACGCACCTGCGTGCGAACGTGCGCGGGGCAGTTGTGTGGCACTTGGCTCGCTGCGCTACGAACCCCGGTGACCCCGAATTCGATTCTCACTCGCGCCCAATTACGGTGACCAGTATCTGAACCTGTCCTGTGGGGCCTGCCTCTAGGACGACTCGGCCTTAAATACGCACCCGTCACGTGCCGTGCCGGCCTTGGTAGGCTCTGCAACTCGCGGGATCTTTGTGTTTGTTGTTGTTCTTCTTGGTTCTTTCGGTAAAGTCACGTAGAAGGGAAGTAATAGAATAATAAAAATAAAACATAATTAAATTATTCTCACGACGTTTCGGCCACAACGCAAGCAGCCGTCCTCAGGTGAAACCAGGTTTGTCGAGGCGACAGCGTCTGAATGAAACAGCACACATGCTTGGAGCAAATATATAAGCTGGGTTGGGAGGGGGGGGAGAAGGGCGCCTTGATTAAAGAATTTGCATATCAAGAGGAATTTAGCATATTTATGGGAAATGCAGGTATGTGATTAGTACTACTTATGTCCGTGCATTATGCAGGATTAGCAGCATCAAAGGGAGGGGATATGGGAAATGCAGGTATGTGATTAGTACTAAACGTCGTGAGAATTATTTTATTATGTTTTATTTTTATTATTTTATTACTTCCCTTCTACGTGACTTTACCGAAAGAACCAAGAAGATGAATCCCTGCAGTCACGAAAGCTTTACATCGAAAATTGTTGTTGTTGCGCTCCGTGGTGCCAGGTGGAGGTGGACGGTGAGATGTTCAAGGGGACGGGCAGCAACAAGAAAGTGGCCAAGGCCAACGCGGCACTCGCTGCCCTGGAGAAGCTCTTCTCTGGGCCCAACGTGCCGTGCCCCCCCACCAAGACCTTCAAGCAGGTGCAGCTTGGGGGGGGGGCTTGGGTGGGGGGGAACGGAAGAGGGGGGCTGCATACCCTCGGTGTACAAACCGTAGCTGTGAAACTCATTCGGTTTATCTTCTTGGTTCTTTCGGTAAAGTCACGTAGAAGGGAAGTAATAAAATAAATAAACTAAAACATAATAAAATAAAAAATATTATATAATAAAATATTGTTTTTTAAATCCTTTATATTAAGTTCACTTGCTTGCTTGCTTGCGACCGTGCAAATCTTTCGGTCGTTTTTTAACCCACTTCCCGTGATCCAATCGAGCTGACATTTTGCACACAGACTCGTTGTGCGTGACAATTTATTTTCGTGAAAATTTTTTTCAAAAATTTTACACTTTTTAGGAAAAAATAAATTATATTTAATTACCAATTGCTTAATGGTGGCAGCCATTCATCTGACCCATAGGTGGCAGCCATCTCAAGCCAGAGGACGAGAGGATTCTAGCCACCACGCATATAAAGGATTTAGAGTGAAAAACTTTGTTTTTACGGGTTAATTTTTTCTTGCTGTGGTTGCCCCACCTGATGACGATTGCTTGCGTTGCGATCGAAACGTCGTGATCTATTATTTTTCTACCCACATGACTTTACCGAAAGAACCAAAGAGTGTGGATTCCTGCAGTCACCAAAGCCTCAAATCAAGAATGCTCGCATAAAATATATGAATTGTCTTTCAAACCGATTGGCCTATGCCAGAGATGGCCTTCTTTATAGCCTCGTCTTACTGGAGAATGACAATTGAAATATTATCAGAGCATTTTTGTTTTCACCCTCACAATTATTCACCGCCGCCAATCACTGTTATCATCATCATCATCATCATCGCAACAATGAACATTAGCAGTATCATCCTTGCCGTCAAACACCATGGTCGTCAGAAGGTGATTATCGTTATCCTTACTAATACCCTCGCCACCATTACGGCAATTGTGGCGCACGCAATAACACCTTCACGTAACAGCACGTGCCCCCACAGTCTGTTTCAAGGATACACGGGGGGTGCATCTTTGTCTTTGTGCCATCAGAATATTCCTGGAGGTCGGGGCAGAGGATTCGGCCGTGGGAGAAGTCGTGGCAGAGGATTCGGCTACAGTTCATATGACGGCGGAAATAAAACCGGTGAGAACAAGTGGGCGGGGTTGGTGGGGTGGGTGGTGTGGGTGGTGTGGGTGGTGTGAGTGGTGTGAGTGGCGTGGGTGGTGTGGGTGGTGTGGGTGGTGTGGGTGGTGTGGGTGGTGTGGGTGGTGTGGGTGGTGTGGGTGGTGTGGGTGGTGTGGGTGGCGTGGGTGGCGTGGGTGGCGTGGGTGGCGTGGGTGGCGTGGGTGGCGTGGGTGGCGTGGGTGGCGTGGGTGGCGTGGGTGGCGTGGGTGGCGTGAGTGGCGTGGGTGGCGTGGGTGGCGTGGGTGGCGTGAGTGGCGTGGGTGGCGTGGGTGGCGTGGGTGGCGTGGGTGGCGTGGGTGGCGTGGGTGGCGTGAGTGGCGTGGGTGGCGTGGGTGGTGTGAGTGGTGTGGGTGGTGTGGGTGGGGTGGGTGGTGTGGGTGGCGTGGGTGGCGTGGGTGGCGTGGGTGGTGTGGGTGGCGTGGGTGGCGTGGGTGGCGTGAGTGGTGTGGGTGGCGTGGGTGGGGTGGGTGGTGTGAGTGGCGTGGGTGGCGTGGGTGGCGTGAGTGGCGTGGGTGGCGTGGGTGGCGTGGGTGGCGTGGGTGGCGTGGGTGGCGTGGGTGGCGTGGGTGGCGTGAGTGGCGTGAGTGGCGTGGGTGGCGTGGGTGGCGTGGGTGGCGTGGGTGGCGTGAGTGGCGTGGGTGGCGTGGGTGGCGTGGGTGGCGTGGGTGGCGTGGGTGGCGTGGGTGGCGTGAGTGGCGTGGGTGGCGTGGGTGGCGTGGGTGGCGTGGGTGGCGTGGGTGGCGTGGGTGGCGTGGGTGGTGTGGGTGACGTGGGTGGCGTGGGGTGGCACAGCCGTGCCAAGCACACAGATCCCGCACACACGTGTTGCCCACGCCCCTTCCCTGAACTCTCTCACCGCGCCACCACGTCACGATGCCGGTCCGCATTGGGTAGAGCCGCCCTCCTTCTCGGCGGCGCGTGTCTCTCGCGAAGCGATTCACGCGCCTTAAGCGACTTCCTCTCAACACTTTTGAAAATACACACCCACCCACCCCCCACAGTGGTGTGGGGGGTGGGTGGTTTTTGGGTGAGATCACGTACAGGTAGCCGGGTATCGGGTAGGGTACGGGTATCGGGTAGGGTACGGGTACCCGGTTGCGACCTCTGGCTCGCGGTCAGCACCGGTGACGATTATTTAAACTGGTTCCGGGCCCTCCCCTAGGTGGACTCGGCCTCAAATGAGTACCCGGTGCAGTGTGTAAACTTCTCCACTGGGGAGACAAAGGCGGCCGGGCGAGGTGCTGCCCAGCCCACCCCCCCCTCGTCTGCCGTGCCGGCCTTCGTAGGAGCTCACTAACAACGCTTGGCCCAAAAGTGTGTTACCGCTGCAAGGGTGGATCTTTGTTTTTTGCTGTGTCTACAGGCTACAACCCCAGCTCCAATTTTGGAAATGATGGTAACATTCAAGGCCATGGTGGTGGTGGTGGTGAGTATGTTACCATAACTCTTAAACACTTGGCACTATATCCCCCCCCCCTACCAAACTATATACCCATGTAAACTAACACTATACTCATATTCTATAACATCACCCTATTCTTTAAGGCTTATCATATATCCTAACTTCATACCTTAACCATATCGCCAATAGACTCAACACTGCATCTTAGACTCAACACTGCCCATAGACTCAACACTGCCCGTAGACTCAGCACTGCCCATAGACACAACACTGCCCATAGACACAACACTGCACCATAGACTCAGCACTGCCCATAGACTCAGCACTGCCCATATTCTCAACACTGCCCCTGTATGTTAAGCTGCCCCTCCTTAACCTCCTTCCATTCCTCTCTATGTCCGTAAAATAAGAGAACGCTTACACCATTGGAACCTCATTTGCCAGTAAAAAATATGATCATTGTTTTTTTACCCTTCTATCTGGCAACAAAACTGACACTTTTTTTACAAGGAGTCATGTTTGCATAGACCACAATACCTGCGGTCATAATGCTAACAAAAAACACAACTCTGATAATATATGCACTGTCCTTGAAGTTGATTGGTCCACACCCGAGACATCTTTCTTTAGAGCCTAGTCTCACATGTCTCGGGTGTGGACCAATCAACTTCAAGGACAATGCATACATTATCAGAGTTGTGTTTTTTGTTTGCATTATGACTGCAGGTATTGTGGTCAATGCAAACATGACTCCTTGTAAAAAAGGTGTCAGGTTTGTTGCCAGATGGAAGGGTAAAAAACCAATTATCAAGAGAACACTTGATAATTGTTATTCTCATTATGACGACACTTGAGCCTCAAGACTCCACATCAGTGAGCGGCCTCTTCTCGCCGTGCCGCCCTCCTCCTATAGCTGCAGAGTCTGGTGGTAGTACATGTTGTTGACGTCGCGTTTATTGTGAAAATTCGGTCACAGTTCCTGTGACCACTGTTTCATTGCTTTTATGGCTTTATTTTGGTGATTTTCGAAAAGTTTTTTGGTTTGGCCATGTTTGTTTGTTGGAGTACAGAGTTAGACTGATGGCCTTAATCTAAGTTGTCTTGTGGTTGTTGTTGTTTTGACTTGCATCCCACTGGGATTTTTGCACACAACGTTGGTGTACGGTGCTTTTTCTGCAATATTTTGCTGTCTTTTCTTGTATTTTCTGTTTGCACTCAGTCACTTTAAGATGTTTTCTTGTTCATGTTTTGTTTTTTGCGGTTGCACCCGATACAAGAGCCGAATGGCTCACAGGGCTGTACCTAATACATGAACTTTGAACTCCACATCCCAGGTGGCTTCTTCTCAAGCGGTGGCTTCCTGAGCTCCGGCTCCCAGAACCAAGGTGGTCCGGCAGGCGCCGGCAACGCCACGGCTGCCGCCGCCGCCGCCCCTACTGCCCCGGCACCTGGGCCATCCTTCCCCAGCAGTGGTGGTGGTGGCGGTGGCGGCGGTGGTGGTGGTGGTGGTGGTGCTGCTGGTGGTGGCGGTGGTGGTGGCGGCGGCGGCAGCATTGGGTCATCGGCATCATCCGCGGCAAATAAGAACCAGTACCTGCCCGCCAGTGGAGGTCGGGGTGCTGGGAAACCGCAGTACGGTGGTGGAGGAACAGGCGGTGGCTTTCGTGGTGGTGGTGGTGGAACTGGTGGTGGTGGGAGTGGTGGTGTGAGCGGTGGTGGTAGTAGCAGCGTTGGTGTGGTTAGTAGCGGTGGCGGACCTCCGCCCAAGCCGATTTCTGCACCAGCGACACGTGGCGCTAAATCGTACCACTATCAGAAACAGGGCGGCTACGGTGGTGGTGGTGGTGGCGGTGGCGGTGGTGGCGGTGGCGGCGGTGGTGGTGGTGGCGGCGGTGGCGGAGGCGGCGGCGGAGGCAGTAGTGGCGGTGGTAGTTACCACCAACAGCACCAGCAACAACAGCATCATCAGCCACAGCACCAGCAGAAGCCTCAGCAGCAGCACCACCATCATCAACAGCAGCAGCAGCAACAGCCTCACCACCATCAGCAACAACAACAACAGCAGCAGCAGCAGCAGCCGCAACAACAGAGTAGCGGCTACCAGAGCTATCAGACCCATGGCGCGAGCTACCAGGCATCCGGCGCTGGCTACCAGCAGTCGAGCTACGCGCCGGCGGGCAGCTACGGGGCTCAGGGCGCCGGCTACCAGAGCTCATCGGTGCCGTCCAGCTACAAAAGCCACGCGGCCAGCGCCGGCAGCGGGTACAGCACCCCGGCGTCGGCGTACGCCGGCTATGGTGAGTGTGAGCGGCACCTGCTGGGTCTGCCCCGTGACCTCCTGCCAGCGGGCCTTCGGCACTTCACGTGGCCTCGGAGTGCGCACAGCCTGGCACGAGCGTCGTGGTGACGTCACCGCCACTTAGTGGCGAATGGCGTTTGTTGTTGTAGTGTCGGTATGTGACCCGTGTGTGTGCCAGTGTGTGTGTGTGTGTGTCTGTGTGTGTGTCTACGTGTTTCACGTGTCTTCGCATGTGTGTGCCAGTCCGTGTGTGTGTACGTGTGTGTGTACGTGTGTTACCACGTGTCTTCGCATGTGTGTGCCAGTGTGTGTGTACGTGTGTGTGTGTACGTGGATGGCGGTTGTTGGTGTAGTGTTGGTATGCGCGAGTGCGCGTGCGCGTGTTACGTTGGTGTGCATAGTGACGCGCGTGCGTGCGTGCGTGCTTGCGCGTTACATGCGCGTGAAGCCGCTGGCGAGCGTTGGTTCGGGCGAGCCAGTGAGTGAGTGCGCACGTGCGGGCCGAACGTTGCCAGCCCCTTGCCTGCCCCCCCCTAAGGGGACTAACTCCCGTCCGCAGGCCAGGGCAGCTACTCCAGCGCCGGCGTCGGCGGCGGCGTCGCCGGCACCTCCTCCGCGTCCGTCTACGGCTCGGCCCAGCCGGAGCCGGCGCCCGTCGACCACTCCCTGCGCTACTACTCGTCGGCGCAGGGCGGCTACTCCGGCGCCGGCTACGGCGCCATCGGCCAAACCGTCGGCGCCACCACCGCCGCCGTGGCGGCCGCGGCGGCGGCGGCGGCCATGGCGGCGCAGCACAAGAAAGCTTACGACAGCGCCGCGTCGGCGGCCGGCAAGGCGGTGTACGCGGTCGGGACCACCGGCTCGGCCGCCGTCAAGCAGCAGCAGCAGCAGCAGCAGGTTGCGCAGTACCCGTTGGCGGCGGCGCAGGCGGTGCAGGCGGTGCAGATGGCGCAGTACCCGTCGGTGTACGGGGCCGGCGGGTACGCGGCGAGCTACGCGGCGCAGCCAGCCGCGGCCACCGACTACGACGGTGAGCGGAGGAGCGCCGACTTTCGCGGTGGAGTGTCTGGAACTTTTTCACCGTTGCCACCTGCCCCCCACGCTCGATGGGGATAGCAGATTCCAAGAACACCGGATGAGATGTTACTATCCTTTGTGCAAGCACGTTCAAGAGTCCATGAACAGCGAGCCTGGTGAAATTTGGGGAGCGCATCGTCAGTAGTGAACCTTTGGTTCCCAGGGTGTTTCGGCCTTTCACACTATACACCCTCCCCACAGGCGGCCAGCGACAGGGTGATCAATCCTAGGCTTGCGTCCCATTCCCAATTAGTCATAGGAGTTGCCTTGTTGTTGATAGCCAACATCCCATGGGACTATGCATGGCAGGGGCGTACTCCTCCCTGAGTCAAGCATTGTTGACCACATACCTCCTGGCCCTCTCACTTCGGGGCCCAGCTGGGGTCTTTCCTCTTCATCCGCCTCCGATACAGCTCTGATTGCCGAACGCTGGCTCTGGCCCTTAATTCCAGCAATACTAGTGATGCAGGCAGACCTCGCTTAGTGCCACCCCGTGGAACGCCGATTCGTTATGACAAAAGTGACAAAAAAATGTAAAGTCCTTACGAGTGAGAGAACGCGTACAGCACTGCCGCCTTGTAGGAGTACAGTAAAATCACTCGTGAGTGCAGCACAAGCCACTTGCCGACATTGTAATTAATTATTTTTTATTCATGAAATAATGTTTACCCACCTGTATTGATATCGCACTTTTATGAAAGCGCTTAACAAGATTGTAAATGGTAGATTAGTCATTGGCTGATTGGGGGAAAAAGGGATGGGATTTGAGTGTGTGGGGAGGGGTAGGGGATGGCAAGGAAAGGGTGGTGATGTTCTTCTTGGTTCTTTTGGTAAAGTCACGTAGAAGGGAAATAATAAAATAATAAAAATAAAACATAAAAAAATTATATTTATTATGTTCTATTTTTATAATCAATTTTATTGTTTCCCTTCTACGTGACTTTACCGAAAGAACCAAGAATATCTTTACATCTTAACAAAAGCTTAACATCTGAACATCTTAAAACACGATTTAAAGCTTTCGTGACTGCAGGGATTCATCTTCTTGGTTCTTTCGGTAAAGTCACGTAGAAGGGAAATAATAAAAATAAAACATAAAATAAAATTTTCACGACGTTTCGGCCACAACGCAAGCAGCCGTCCTCAGGTGAAGAACAGGGCTGTCGAGAAGACAGTGTCTGAATCGGAAAGACAGCGTCTCATTCAGACGCTGTCTTTCCGACAGACCTGTTCTTCACCTGAGGACGGCTGCTTGCGTTGTGGCCGATACGTCGTGAGAATTATTTTATTATGTTTTATTTTTATTATTTTATCACTTCCCTTCTACGTGACTTTACCGAAAGAACCAAGAAGATGAATCCCTGCAGTCACGAAAGCTTTAAATCGAAAGGGTGGTGATGGTTCGGGAAAGGGAGGGGTGGCGGTGTTAGGAAGGGGGGGGATGGTAAAGGTTTTGGGGACGTTGAGAGTGGAAGTGGTGGAGGGATACGCGATTGAAAAAAGATGAGTCTTAACGGAGGAACGAACAGTGGAGGGTGAAGTTGCCCTGTGGGAGTTTATTCCAATGGAGGGGGGAGCCAGGGGGGAGACGGAGCGGAAATGTGACGGAGCACCGACACCCCCAACGAAGCCCTCGCACGTTTTCTTGGTTCTTTCGGTAAAGTCACGTAGAAGGGAAATAATAACGAACGTTGTTTTTCCCCCGTTCCCTCGCAGCGAGCGGCTACGGAACCTCCTACGCGTACGGAGCCACCGCGGGGTTCGCAACTCCCATCCCCGCGGCCACGGGATACGCCACAGGTGAGAGAGATTTCGATTTAAAGCTTTCGTGACTGCAGGGATTCATCTTCTTGGTTCTTTCGGTAAAGTCACGTAGAAGGGAAATAATAAAATAATAAAAATAAAACAATTAAATAATTCTCACGACGTTTCGGCCACAACGGCTGCTTGCGTTGTGCCCGAAACATCGTGAGAATTATTTAATTGTTTTATTGTTATTATTTTATTATTTCCTTTCTACGTGACTTTACCGAAAGAACCAAGAAGATGTGAGACAGAGCCCGCTCCCTCGGAGCCATCGGTCTCCCCTGCCGCCCTCACGCCCCTCCAACCTTTCCCTCCCCTCCTCCGCCCCTATCCCGTACAAACTCCTCTCCGTGACCCCCTCCCCTCCCCTACCCTTCCCCTACCCCCCACCCACCCCTGTACCGTGACCCCCTCCCCTACCCTTCCCCTACCCCCCACCCACCCCTGTACCGTGACCCCCTCCCCTACCCTTCCCTACCCCTAACCACCCCTGTACCGTGACCCCTCCCCTACCCTTCTCCTACCCTCTACCCACCCCTGTACCGTGACCCCCTCCCTACCCTTCCCCTACCCCTCACCCACCCCTGTACCTTGACCCCCTCCCCTACCCTTCCCCTACCCCCCACCCACCCCTGTACCGTGACCCCCTCCCCTACCCTTCCCCTACCCTCTACCCACCCCTGTACCGTGACCCCCTCCCTACCCTTCCCCTACCCCCCACCCACCCCTGTACCGTGACCCCCTCCCCTACCCTTCCCCTACCACCCACCCACCCCTGTACCGTGACCCCTCCCCTACCCTTCTCCTACCCTCTACCCAGCCCTGCACCGTGACCCCCTCCCTACCCTTCCCCTACCCCCCACCCACCCCTGTACCTTGACCCCTCCCCTACCCTTCACCTATTCCCCACCCACCCCTCTCCCGTGACCCCCTACCCTTCTACCCCCTACCCACCCCTGTACCTTGACCCCCTCCTCTACCCTTCCCCTACCCACTACCCACCCCTGTACCGTGACCCCCTACCCTTCACCTACCCCCTCCCCTACCCTTCGCCTACCCCCACGCACCCCTCTACCGTGATCCCCTCCCCTACCCTCCGCCTACACCCCCACGCACCCCTCTACCCGCGGTCACACATCCCTCGTGTCCCACGCACGCCCCCCCCCCCCGCCCCCCATTGCTGTCTAATCCTCGCGTGCAGTTCGTACCGCTGGCTCGCTTTCGTTCGTCATTTCTCGGTCGTCGTCGTCGTCGTCGCTAACCGCCTCGATGGCCCCGTCACACCCGGGCAGGCTACGGCGCCCAGTCAACGTTCGCGCCAGCCGGGGCGGCCCCCGTGACGTACGCGGCGGCCCCCAGCGCGGCGCAGGCCTACATCGCCACCCCCACCGTCTACATCTCGTCGCAGCCCGTGGCAGGATACGGACGCGCCGACCCCTCGCTGCTGCAGACCTACCAGCAGTACCGCTAGCCCTGCCCCCTGCCCCCTGCCCCCTGCCCCCTGCCCCCTGCCCCCTGCCCTCTGCCCTCTGCCCTCTGCCCCCTGCCCTCTGCCCCCTGCCCCTCTGCCCCCTGCCCCATGCCCCCCTTGCGTTTGAAGCGAAAGTTCCAAGGCTTAAGTGTTCCCACCCCGCCGTTTGGTTTGACCCGGGTTCGACACGCTATATCCATTGTGTGATATACCCATAGTTGCCGGCATACAGATACACAGGCATACAGATACACAGGCATACAGATACACAGGCATACAGTTACACAGGCATACAGATACACAGGCATACAGTTACACAGGCATACAGTTACACAGGCATACAGATACACAGGCATACAGTTACACGGGCATACAGATACACAGACACAGGCATACAGATACACAGACACACAGGCATACAGATACACAGGCATACAGTTACACAGACACACAGGAATACAGATACACAGGCATACAGGCATACAGATACACAGACACAGGCATACAGATACACAGACACACAGGCATGCAGACACACAGGCATACAGACACACAGACACAGGCATACAGTTACACAGACACACAGACACACAGGTATACAGATACACAGGCATACAGATACACAGACACAGGGCTACATACACACAGACACACAGGAATACAGATACACAGGCATACAGGCATACAGATACACTGACACAGGCATACAGTTACACAGACACACAGACACACAGGTATACAGATACACAGGCATACAGATACACAGACACAGGCATACAGATACACAGACACAGGCATACAGATACACAGACATACAGATACACAGACACAGGGCTACATACACACAGACACACAGGCATACAGATACACAGACACACAGACACACAGGCATACAGACGAGAGGGAGATACAGCTACAGACTAACATACATATGATGTTAAGCTTTCGTGACTGCAGGTATCCATGCTCTTTGGTTCTTTCGGTAAAGTCACGTGGGTAGAAACAATAACAGATCACGACGTTTCGATCGCCACGCAAGCAATCATCTTCAGGTGGGAGAGAGAAACAGGCTGCTGAAACAATTTCCTTATATGTAGAGAGCCGAGAGGGGGAGAGGACCATCTGAGGACCCAATCAAAACCATCACCTTGCCATGCATAGCTGGGGTTGCCAAAAAAGATTTCCAAAATCTTTTCAGGTTCGATTCAACACGGTACACAAAATCCGCGGCCTGATCCCATCTGTGAAAGATGCGATTCCTGGCATGCAATACCCTGGTGTCTACAAACTTAAGTTGTGTTTGCGGTAAAAGTTACATTGGGGAAACGAAAGATGGGTTCAATTAAGCAATCATTGGAAGGACGTTATAAAGCCAGGTAAAGCCTTAACTGGTTCATCTTCTTGGTTCTTTCGGTAAAGTCATGTAGAAATAATAAAATAATAAAAATAAAACATAATAAAATAATTCTCACGACGTTTCGGCCACAACGCAAGCAGCCATCCTGACAGACCTGTTCTTCACCTGAGGACGGCTGCTTGCGTTGTGGCCGAAACGTCGTGAGAATTATTTTATTAAGTTTTATTTTTATTATTTTATTATTTCCCTTCTACGTGACTTTACCGAAAGAACCAAGAAGATGAATCCCTGCAGTCACGAAAGAAGCTTTAAATCGAAACTTTAACTGGTTGTTGATGTTTCCATCCTACTTGCCATTGTCAGCAGTTATTTCCAACTCTCTCAGCAACGTTGGCTTTGTTAGTGAGTCATTTAGCCCGTTAATGTAAAGACATTTAACTTGGTAATGTAAATTGGTAATGTCACTCAGAGTCGGAAATAACTGCTGACAATGGCATGTAGGATGGAAACATCAACAACCAGTTAAGGCTTTACCTAATTAATAACGTCCTTCCAATGATTGCTCTATTATTTGAAGACAACTTTAGTTTCCCCAATGTAACTTTTACCGCAGACACAACTAAGTTTGTAGACACCAGGGTATTGCATGTCAGGAATCACATCTTTCACAGGTGGGATCAGGCCACGGATTGTGTGTACCGTGTTGAATCGAACCTGAATCTTGCGTTTGTTCAAGATTTTGGAAATCTTTTTGGTAACCCCTGCTATGCATGGCAAGGTGATGGTTTTGATTGGGTCCTCAGATGGTCCTCTCCCCCTCTCGGCTCTATACATATAAGGAAATTGTTTCAGCAGCCTGTTTCTCTCTCCCACCTGAAGATGATTGCTTGCGTGGCGATCGAAACGTCGTGATCTGTTATTGTTTCTACCCACGTGGCTTTACCGAAAGAACCAATGAGTATAGCTATGATAGCAGACAGACAAAGACAAAGATCGCCCCTATAGCCTTAGAGGTTTTTTTTGTGGACAAGTGCTGTTAGCGAGCACCTACACAGGCCGGCACAAGAGGGTGGGTGGCCATGCACCATGCCCGATTGGCAATGTTTACACACCGCACTAGGTACTCATTTGAGGCTGAGTCGACCTAGGGGAGGCCCCGGACTGGTGGAGATAATCATCACGCGCATGCAGACAGATACACGGGCAGACAAAGGGCATACACGGACACCTCACGCACTCATGAGCGTCGCCAAGTAGCGTCGGGTTTTGTGTCGTTTGGTTGTGTTTATATAATGACAGTTTTGTTAATTTTAATTTTCGCCGATTGCACACGTTTCTTGTTCATTAAAACAACATAATTCTCGGTTGTGTTGGCTCCGTTCAATGTCGGCAGCCACGCGAATTTGGAGTCTGCCTCGTTAAAGTTATGGTCATTTGGACGTATTGGGATGGTTTACCCAAATTCTTGTGCGGGGAAATTGATGAAAATGAATAAAAATAAAATTTAAATAAATGAAAATAAATCAATGAAATCACGACGTTTCGGAGGCAACACAAGCTTCCTTCATCAGGTGTAAAAAGGCACAGCAAAATATTTTCATTCATTATTTTTTACCTACGTGATTTTACCGAAAAAACCTAAGAGTATGAATCCTTGCAGTCACGAAAGCTTCAAATCTAGAATCGGGGAAATTGAGTTTTCAGGTCCATATGGGCAAACAGCCGTTTAAATACGGACAAAAAAAATCGTTAGCAAAACATTGTTTTAATAAATGAACACAATGTTTTGCTAATGTTTGTCCATTTGTTTGTGTCTCTCCCTTGTGATGGGACTTTAAAGGATGAACTTTGAGATGTATAAGGGCACGGGGTGACCAGTAAGGTCTAAATTGGTCTGTAATAAGCGGCTGGTAAGGGGTTGACAGGTAAGTATTGTCGGTCCCACACCGGCGCAGCAGCATAACAGAGCGGGTTCCGGGTAGAACGGTCCTGACGATGACAATTGGTTTTTAAAAATCCTTTATATTAAGTTCGCTTGCTTGCTTGCTTGCGTGCTTGCTTGCCTACGACCGTGCAAATCTTTCGGTCGTTTTTTAACCCACTTCCTGTAATCCAATCGAGCTGACATTTTGCACACAGACTCGTTGTGCGTGACAAATTATTTTCGTGAAAATTTTTTTCCAAAATTTTACACTGTTTAGGGAAATTTTTTTTTATTACCAATTGCTTAATGCTGGCAGACAATCATCTGACCCATAGGTGGCAGCCATCTCAAGCCAGAGGACGAGAGGACTCTAGCCGCCACGCATATATAGGATTTAGAGTGAAAAACTTTGTTTTTACGGGTTAATTTTTACCCTTCTATCTGGCAACAAAACTGACACCTTTTTTTACAAGGAGTCATGTTTGCATAGACCACAATACCTGCAGTCATAATGCAAACAAAAAACATAACTCTGATAATCTATTTGCACTGTCCTTGAAGTTGATTGGTCCACACCCGAGACAGCTTTCCTTAGAGCATAGTCTCACCAGTCAACTTCAAGGACAGTGCATACATTATCAGAGTTATGTTTTTTGTTTGCATTATGACTGCAGGTATTGTGGTCTATGCAAACATGACTCCTTGTAAAAAAAAGGTGTCAGTTTTGTTGCCAGATAGAAGGGTAAAAAAACCAATTATATTTTTTACTGGCAAATGAGGTTCCAATGGGGTCCAGACGATGTCGCCGTTGCCCCTCGAGTGGAGCTGCGTTGAGATCCAGCGGCGGCCGCTTAACCTATTCAAGTTCATGTATTAGGTGTAGCCCTGTGAGCTATTCGGCTCTTGAATCGGGTGCAACGGCAACAAACAAAAAACAAAAACATGAACAAAATAACATCTTAAAGTGACTGTGACTGAGTGCAAACAGAAAATCCAAGAAAAGACAGCAAAATATTGCAGAAAAAGCACCGTGCACCAACGCTGTGTGCAAAAATCCCAGTGGGATGCAAGTCAAACAACAACCACAAGACAACTTAGATTAAGGCCATCAGTCTAACTCTATACTCCAACAAACAAACATGGCCAAACCGAAAAACTTTTCGAAAATCACCAAAATAAAGCCATGAAAGCAATGAAACGGTGGTCATACGACAACAGATTGTGAAGCTTCGTGTTCAGCCAGCCGCTCATATAAACGTTGCTTCTTCCGACCACTTCCACGTCACGAGAACCGATTTTGACACACCACCACCACCCTCAAGATTTTCCAGAGCCGGGGTTGCCAATCTTCCGGTGGGGAAAATAAATAAGAGTAGTGGGAAAACAAGTTCTATTTCTCTTTCACCAGTGGCAAAATATAGTAATAGGCTTTTACCCTTGCTTACCCCGAGCTCTCAATACTCTGATAGTGCATTGTCTTTGAGTTGTACGCCTTTTGGCGTCATCTGGTCCAACACCAATGGAGATTAGGCTCTAAGAAAAGCTGTCTCGGGTGTGGACCAATCAACTTCAAGGACAGTGCATATCATGATCATCATCAGAGTTGTTTCTTTTTGTTTGCATTTTGACTGCTTGTCTTGTGGTTATTGCAAACATGATGCCTTGTATAAAGGTGTCAGTTTTTGTACCAGTTGAAAGGGTAAAAAACCTATTACTATATTTTGCCACTGGTAAAGGAGGTCTCATAGTGTAAATGCTTACCCTGAACTCTCAATACTCTGATAGTGCGCTGTCTTTGAGTTGTACGCCTTTTGGCGTCATCTGGTCCAACACCAATGGAGACTAGGCTCTAAGAAAAGCAAATTCTGGACCGGTTTGGACATTCCATTGGTTCGTCGGCTCCGCCTGAGCACGTGATACAACCGCAGTCGAGCAGCTGTGACTGACCTCCGAGCCACCTCGGCCCAGTACCAAGGAGCCCGCGTCACTATGAATGGAAAGTCACCGTTAAGCGCCATGTGTGGAGAATGTTGCTCATAGAATAACTGACTTAGCAACATGTCAGCCGGGGCGTCTCCTCCCTTACCAACACGTCAGCTGGGGCGTCTCGTCCCTTACCAACATGTCAGCTGGGGCGTCTCGTCCCTTATCAACATGTCAGCCGGGTCGTCTCCTCCCTTACCAACATGTCAGCTGGGGCGTCTCCTCCCTCACCAACATGTCAGCCGGGGCGTCTCCTCCCTTACCAACATGTCAGCCGGGGCGTCTCCTCCCTTGCCAACATGTCAGCCGGGGCGTCTCCCTTACCAACATGTCAGCCGGGGCGT